GTTGTCCATTTGTTTGTTACATGATAAATGATAACTAACTTCAGGTTTAAAATGTCAACCTCAATTTTGACATATTTGTATTCTTCATTAAAAATCCTTTAAAATGAGTACAAACACGACATATTTATCTTCAATATTAGTAAAGTTATGGTCAACTTCCGGTTAGAAATGTCAAGCTCAATTTTGACATATTTGTAATCGTCGTGAAAAATCCTTTAAAATGAGCCCAAACATGATACATTTAATTCCAATATTACTCGAGATATAAGCAACTTCCGGTTTGAAATGTCAATGTCATTTTGACATATTCTTAATTTTTATAAAATGTCTTAAAATTTAACATAAAAGCAAAAATATAATAAAAAAAATTAGAAATTAAGGTTGGTATTAACTTTTAAAAATTAAATTGCTATCTTCATTGTTGCTAACTTCGGGTTTAATGTTTTTTTTCCAACCTTTTTTGTTTTTTGAGATAAGTGCGTCATGTTTGTACTCATTTTAAAGGTTATTTTACAAAGATTAGAAATATAATTATAAAATTAAAGTTGACATTATCACCTGAAAGTATTTTTAATAACTAACTTCAGGTGTAAAATGTCAACCTCAATTTTGACATATTTGTATTCTTCATTAAAAATCATTTAAAATGAGTACAAACACGACATATTTATCTTCAATATTAGTAAAGTTATGGTCAACTTCCGGTTAGAAATGTCAAGCTCAATTTTGACATATTTGTAATCGTCGTGAAAAATCCTTTAAAATGAGCCCAAACATGATACATTTAATTCCAATATTACTCGAGATATAAGCAACTTCCGGTTTGAAATGTCAATGTCATTTTGACATATTCTTAATTTTTATAAAATGTCTTAAAATTTGTCATGAAAGCAAAAATATAATAAAAAAAATCGGAAATTAAGGTTGGTATTAATATTTAAAAATTAAATTGCTATCTTCATTGTTGCTAACTTCGGGTTTAATGTTTTTTATTCTAACTTTTTTGTTTTTTAAGATAAGTGCGTCGTGTTTGGACTCATTTTAAAGGTTACTTTATAAAGATTAGGAATATAATAATAAAATTAAAATATTCATTTTTATTTTCTTTTCACCTGGGTATTTCAATTAAACAAATTTTGCACTTAAAGGTGAAATGTGTTTATTATTACTCTACCGGTTTCGCTCCTTTCGGAGCATCCTCAGGAGTTCGTCAATTCAGTTTTTGAAAATCTAAACATGTTATGTGACACTTTATTTAATTAATCCACTATTAAAATTCTAAATATTAATAAAAAAATGGTATACCTGCCATTCACAGCTTCAAAATAACCTAAAATATAATGTAAAATAATATACAGGGTGATTCAAAAAACCGCTGACAGACTTCTAGAGTAGATAATACAGGAAAAATTAAGATATAGATAGAATAGTCTTAATATATATGGAGTCGGAAATGCCTCGTTGGCGAGATATAGCGGATCAAAGTTTCTTTAAAACTGAAAGTATTATTAATAACTAATTTCAGGTGTAAAATGTCAACCCCAATTTTGACATATTTGTAATCTTCATTAAAAATCCTTTAAAGTGAGTACAAACACGACGTATTTATCTTTAGTATTAATGAAGTTATGGTCAACTTCCGGTTAAGAATGTCAACCTCAATTTTGACATATTTGTACTCGTCGTGAAAAATCCTTTAAAATGAGTCCAAATATGCTATGTTTAATTCCAATATTACTCGAGATATAAGCAACTTCCGGTTTGGAATGTCAATGTCATTTTGTTATATTCTTAATTTTTATGAAATGTGTTAAAGTTTGTCATAAAAACGAAAATATAATAAAAAAAAAAGTCAAAAATTAAGGTTGGTATTAATATTTCAAAATTGAATTGTTGCCAACTTCGGGTTTAATGTTTTTTTTTCTAACTTTTTTGTTTTTTGAGATAAGTGCGTCATGTTTGGACTCATTTTAAAGGTTATTTTATAAAGATTACGAATATAAAATTAAAATTGACGTTAACACGTGAAAGTTAATAATAGATAAAAAATATGTAATAAAAAACTAATGCACAAATTATTGTAATAAAGTTTGACATTTATTTTGACATTTTGTAAGGAAATGTACCTTAAGTCTATTACGTAGTTTTTTTTATCAAATTTTAATATAAAATAATTAATTTTTAAATTAACTCGCGCCATCTAACGTCTAATAGCGGAAATTACCCCACAAGAACCACGTAACAGTACCAACAGCTGCTTTTCACGCACACATACACATTTTCTTCGTCTCTATCGCAATCAGTCTCGGTGAAAATCGGAAATTTAAAGGGAGTACAGACGTAGAACTCGAAATGTCGTAGTCCGAAAGGTTTTTTTTATGTAGTGCGGAGGAGGAGAAAAAATTAATCGATCAAAAAGTGAAATCATAACCGTAAAATGAATAAATCGTACTGTTTGCGTGGTGTTTTTTAATTCCTTTTATTTCGGGCGGTTCTTTTGGTCGAGTGAACAACAAGGAAGGAAATTGCGAAAAGGAAAAATCGCGAACAACAAAAAAAACTTATTTCCTCGATTTTTGACAACAACCGAACGAATCGAACGGAAAGTGAGGTTATGTTGGTTTACGAAGGAGGAAAATCAATAACTGGAGTGAGATTACGAGTATTACGACGAGTCGTAGTGGTAAAGGTGGACGAACTTTGCGATTTACACATAAATAATAAAATTTCTAATCAAAGAGGCGAAAAAGAACGATGTTTGTGGTGTTTAAAGATTAGATAAAGGTTTTTATTTCTGGGTTGTTCGAGATTCAAAAAAATGTTTAACTTTATGAAGAAAGGAATCGATAAGGACGATAAAGAACGCAGGAAACGGGACAAAAAAGATCGAAAAGACAAACAGAAACGCGAAAGAGCCACCATGTCAGCTGAAGAACTTTTAAGGTTAGATGAGGTAAGTATTAAAAAAAAACTTAACCTATAACTTTTCTGAGGAGGAAATTTTCTTTATTTTAGGTTAGAAAATCGCTGAAATTGACGCGACGCCGAAAAGACAAAGAAAAACTCCCATCAGGAATCACCGCAGATTACACAGAAAACTTTTTAGCAAACTTAGTTAATTACCCCCTTAACCAACCTCAATCAAACTACTTTTATACCCAATCAGACAGTTCAGAGACCAGTTTAACATCATTAAACCACCCAAAAATCGGCCCTCCAGTTCCACCAAAACCCCCAAAACGCGGAATATTAAAAACCTCAAAATTAACCTCCCTCCAAATCGAAAATGGGGGCCCAATAACCACGATCGGAGGCGATTTAATCCAAAACACCATACAAAACGAGATGATTTTCACCCAAAATCAAAACGGAGACACAAAAATCGTCACAAATAACCTTTTAGTGATCACTTCGCCATCTCCAAGTGGTGATTCTTTAACAGATACGACAAATTCATCATTTGCGACCCCCCCTTTCTCATTAAGCCCCATCGGGGAATCCCAAGGCTTCCACCGGTGGTCGAGAACGAGTAATTTCGACGATTTAAACTTACTTTTACCGCCGATTATTCCGATAAATCTTCCAAAAGCGAGAATTTTAAAAATACAACGTCAAAAACCGCCGAGGAATGATTTCGGATTTTCGTTGCGAAGAACGATGATTTTGGAACGAGGTCATTCGGGGGGATTTTCGATGAAAGCGGTGGTTTTCGCGGAACCCGGGGCTATGGTACAGCATAACAACGAAACGGGATTACTTCCGGGTGATAAATTGTTAGAGGTTAATGGGATTAAAGTTGGGGAAAGAAGTAGAGAGGAAATAATCGATTTAATTAAAGCGTCCGGGGATGCGGTCGTTTTAAAAGTACAACCGGTGGCGGAATTGAGCGAATTAACGAAACGATCCGGGTTAGACGGGCAAGAAATTATGTTGGACGATTCGAATATTAAAACGGGGACTTTGAAGCGATCCGGAAGTCGGCGATATCAAAATGAATCGAGGGTAAGTTATTTTTATTAATTAAAATTATGTTTTAAAACAACCTGAGTCGCTGACATTTACTTGGTTGTTTAAAATTTCCTTTGCATTTCTAGTCACGTTTTGAGCCTTTCTAAAAAGTTAAACAGGTTGCATAGTTTTGTTACGACGCGATTTAAAAAGACAATCCAAAGGCAACAACAACAACAAAATGCAAAAGAAAAGGGAAGGAAAACGAGGTGGGGTAAAATAACTCAGTGTGTTTCTGGTTAAGTTTAAAACGTTACGTAATGTTAATAGAGCGCGAGTATTTATTAAATCGTTTCGAAAGTAGTAGTCATCGGTATAGTCACAACTCGATAACCGGCGATGTAGGCGCGCCGCATTCTTAACGGATTTTTTTTTAGACGGTTACGAAAAAATTTCAATGATAATAGTGGAATTTTTATTGCAAAATCGATTTCGTTGCGCGAAATCCTTTAAAATGAGTCCAAACTTGATAGGGTTATCTTTTAAAGTAATCGAGTTATTAATGTTTTCGATTTTATCGATTTATAGGTTATGTCACTAAAGTTAATTAATTAGTTTAAACAAGATATTTTAATCTTAATTAGAAAATTTTTTAATGAAATTCGTTTTATGTGGAATTTAATGTGAATTTTTATAATTTTTGACAAATGACATTTTAAACGTCAATGTCAACTTTAATTTTATTATAATATTCGTAATCTTTATAAAATAACCTTTAAAATGAGTCCAAACAAGACGCACTTATCTCAAAAAATAAAAAAGTTAGAAAAGAAAACATTAAACCCGAAGTTGGCAACAATTTAATTTTTAAATATTAATACCAACCTTAATTTTTGATTTTTTTTATTATATTTTCGTTTTTATGTTAAATTTTAAGACATTTTATAAAAATTAAGAATATGTCAAAATGACATTGACATTTCAAACCGGAAGTTGCTAATATCTCGAATAATGTTGGAGTTAAACGTATCATGTTTGGGCTCATTTTAAAGGATTTTTCACGACGATTACAAATATATCAAAATTGAGGTTGACATTTCTAACCGGAAGTTGACCATAACTTCACTAATACTGAAGATATATATGTCGTGTTTGTACTCATTTTAAAGGATTTTTAATGAAGATTACAAATATGTCAAAATTGAGATTGACATTTTACACCTAAAGTTAGTTATTAAAAATACTTTTAGGTGTTAATGTCAACCTTAATTTCATTATCATATTCGTAATCTTTATAAAATAACTTTTAAAATGAGTCCAAACATGACGCATTTATCTCAAAAAACAAAAAAGTTTGAAAAAAAAAACGTTAATCCCGAAGTTGGCAACAATTTAATTTTTAAATATTAATACCAACCTTAATTTTTGATTTTTTTTTATTACATTTTCGTTTTTATGACAAACTTTAACACATTTTATAAAAATTAAGAATATGTCAAAATGACATTGACATTTCAAACCGGAAATTGCTTATATCTCGAGTAATATTGGAATTAAATGTATCATGTTTGGGCTCATTTTAAAGGATTTTTCACGACTATTACAAATATGTCAAAATTGAGGTTGACATTTCTAACCGGAAATTGACCATAACTTTATTAATATTGAAGATAAACATGTCGTGTTTGTACTCATTTTAAAGGATTTTTAATGAAGATTCTAAATACGTCAAAATTGAGGTTGTAATTTTACACCTGAAGTTAGTTATCATATAATAGACAACTTCATGATGTTGTTTCATGATGTATTCTTTACTACTTTAGTCACTAGAACTAACACGAGACATAAAACTAGAATCATTCGGGTTTAGCCGCACGTCTCTCAAGACGGCTAAATCCGAATGATTCTAGTTTTATGTCTAGTGTTAGTTCTAGTGGCAGTGGTAGGTAGCGTTAGTTCGCATAAGATATTGCTATGTTGTATATTTTTATTGAATATTAACTAGAACTAACACTAGACCAAAGGTTATAGAGTAAAAAAGATGCGACGCTAGAGTGAGAAACTCTAATTTTGAAAAGAGTTAGAAGATATTCCAATTTAAATGTACTGACAATAACAAACCTAACCTACAAATGTGACAGTTGGTATATTCTAATCTATACAGGATGCGACGCTAGAGTGAAAAACTCTAGTTTTGAAAAAAGATCAAAGACATTCCAATTTAAATGTCCTAACAATAACAAACCATTCCAATTTAAAGGTCTATAGCGTTCAAGGTCATAAAAAATGGCAGCCTTACATCAACATCATCGTCAACTTTAATTTTATTATTATATTCGTAATCTTTATAAAATAAGCTTTAAAATGAGTCCAAACATGACATACTTATCTCAAAAAACAAAAAAGTTAGAAAAAAAAAATATTAAACCCGAAGTTAGCAACAATAAAAATAGCAATTTAATGTGTAAATATGAATACCAACCTTAATTTTAGATTTTTTTAATTATATTTTTGTGACAAATTTTAAGACATTTTATAAAAATTAAGAATATGTCAAAATGACATTGACATTTCAAACCGGAAGTTGCTTATATCTCGAGTAATATTGGAATTAAACGTATCATGTTTGGAGTCATTTTAAAGGATTTTCCACGACGATTTTAAATATGCCAAAATTGAGGTTAACATTTTACACCTGAAGTTGGTTACTAAAAATACTCTCAGGTGTTAATGTCAACTTTAATTTCATTATTGTATTCGTAATCTGTATAAAATAACCTTTAAAATGAGTCCAAATATGACATACTTATCTCAAAAAACAAAAAAGTTAGAAAAAAAAACATTAAACCCGAAGTTAGCAACAATGAAGATAGCAATTTAATTTTTAAATATTAATTCCAACCTTAATTTTCGATTTTTTTTTATTATATTTTTGTTTTTATGACAAACTTTAACACAATTTATAAAAATTAAGAATATATCAAAATGACATTGACATTTCAAACCGGAAGTTGCTTATATCTCGAGTAATATTGGAATTAAATGTATCATGTTTGGGCTCATTTTAAAGGATTTTTCACGACGATTACAAATATGTCAAAATTGAGGTTGTCATTTAAAACCGGAAGTTGATCATAACCTCATTAATATTAAAGATAAATATGTCGTGTTTGTACTCATTTTAAAGGATTTTTAATGAAGATTACAAATATGTCAAAATTGAGGTTGACATTTTATACCTGAAGTTAGTTATCATATAATAGACAAGTTCATGGTGTTCTTTCATAAAAAATAGAGTATAAAGTTAATTAATTAGTTTTGGTTCCTTGAACAAGATATTTTAATCTTAATTAGCAACTTTTTAACGAAATTCGTTTTATGTGGAATTTAATGTGACATTTTAAACGTCAGTGTAATTTTTGATTTCAAGCTTTTTTTCGGTATTTTCTAATTCATCTGTCAAATTCCAGCTGTTTATATTCCAACGTCATCTTCTTTCTCAATAAGTAAATAAATTCTGTCTACAACAATAACCTACACTAATGACAATTACTTTGACATTTATAATCAACATGGCGGATAATTTTATTGATCAATTTAATTTACAAACAATTTTGTTAAGAAATAATTAAAAACCTCTTTTTCACGTCTTCCGCTTCCTCCTTATCAAATATATGAGTAATATTGCAAGTAATATGTAATGTTTCCTCATTTTTCTTGAAGATCTCTCTTTATTGTTTTCAATCTGTCAATATGTGACACATCAATGAATTAGGTTATGTGACAAACCTTTAAACAAAAAAATCACCAGATTTATTTTTTTATTCGCCCATGTAAATAAAGTCATTTTACGGATTCAAAGAATAAAATAAAAGTTCCAATTTGGTATGCAGAACGTTTCTTTCGCCGTCCTTCGTCGATCGCCCGTTGTGAATAATAAACCCACACGTTGTTACCACCGCCGCCACTGGTTCCCCGTTCGTTTTTCCTTTTCACGTTGCGTTTTCTGAACGTCAAAGAACGTAGGTCGCGTTTAACCTTCACAATTTAACTAACACTTCGCAAATCGTCGTTTCTCGCTGTCGATTTCGTTTGGAAAATTTCGATTTTGAATCTATTTCATTAATAAAAACTTAAAAGTGAAAGTTGAATAAATAAAATAAAGTGAAAATGTATTGCCCGGGATTTTTCGAGAACTCTTTAAGAAAAAACGTGACTTATTCGAGTTTTCGCGAAAAAAAGGACCAAAAATTAGCAAACAACATCAAAAATTTAACCCGAAGAAATAGTTTTAGTGGTTGTAAAGATCAACAAAAAGTTGACCAAGATAAAGTTCTAGAAAAGCAACCGATTCGACCGATGAGAAAAAAGAAAAGTTTAATAACTCAGGACACCTTCAAAAACGTTTACGATAACCTAAATTTATTAACCGAAAGATTAAACAACGAAAGTGATAGTTTCATAACGAAATCATCGAATTTAGACGACGATTCCAATTCATCAAAAACTTCAAAATCGAAAAATTCAAGCGATCAAAGTTTAAATTTAACGAGTAAAGCTTCAAAGCTTTATATGACCCCGACGAGATCGTCGAACGCAAAAACATTTAAAAATTTAGACTTGGATCGGTTAGATTTTGAAAAATCGTTAAGATCGGGGAAAGAAATCGCCAGAAAAAATTCAATCGATAATAATTTATGTAAAAAAAATCTGATTGAAACCGAAATTGAATCGGTAAAAGACAGCAAAAAGAAATTGAGGAAGAAACGGAGACTTAAAAGCTTTCTTGAGGATGGGTTTCTTGAAAAGTTGAGGAAACGGAACTTTAATCGGAAGAAAATCCATGTGGAAGTCGTCGATTATGATGAAATACAACGAATTAGTGTTAATAAAAAGTATAATGATTTAAATAATCAATTATTGTTTAAAGAGTTTTCCATAAACTGTGATAAGGTAATTAATTTGTTTAGAGATGTCCTCTTATATATTGTTCCATTTTAATTACATTTAATATTCACTTCAATATATCCTAAAAGAAATTTTATTTTTGACATTGACGTTTTCGAGGTTATATTTTAGGTTAGAATAGAATAATTTTTAAAAAATTAATTGAACGGACTTAATATACAGGAAAAGATGCAACAATTATGTTAAAAATAATTAAAACGTACTCACCATGAAAGAAATTGCTAAAAATGATAAAATTTCTTCTTCAATTTGACGTTTATTGTAATTTAACGGTTTTTATGAAGCTTCATGTGTCATTGCTGCCAACTTAAATGTTGGGTTTAAACATTTATAGAGGAAAGGTTACTAACTCCATCTAGCGGTAATAAATCATATTAAATCGTATTTTTATAACAACTTTAAAGTAAAAGTTTACAAATTTTGAGATAATAAATAGATAATAAAGAATACATCATGAAAGAACACCATAAAGTTGTCCATTTGTCCATTATATAATAACTAACTTCAGGTGTAAACTGTCAAACTCAATTTTGACATATTTGTAATCTTTATCCAAAAAGTTTGTCACAAAAAGAAAAATATAATTTAAAAAATCAGAAATTAAGGTTGGTATTAATATTTAAAAATTAAATTGCTATCTTCATTGTTGCTAACTTTTGGTTGAAGATTTCCAGACGATTTTAAAAGATGTCCAACAGTGTCTAGATAGTTTGTAATGATTCCTATAGTTGTCAAAAAATGTCCAGAAGCTTTCTAATTATTTCTATAGTCGTCAAAAAGTGTCCAGAAGGTGTTTAATGATATCTGTAGTCGTCAAAAGGTGTCCAGAAGATATTTAATGATTTCTATAGTAGTTAAAAATTGTCCTGAAACTTTCTAATGATTGCCATGAATATCAAAAAGTATTTAAACACTTTCTGGATAATTATAAAGATTGCCAGACGATTTTAGAAGATGTCCAAAAGTGTCTAGATAGTTCCTAATGACTATTATTGTTGTCAAAAAGTGTCCAGAAGCTTTCTAATGATTTCTATAATCGTCAAAAGGTATTCAGAAGGTATTTAATGATTTCTATAGTAGTTAAAAGTTGTCCTGAGACTTTCTAATGAATGCCATAAATATCAAAAAGTATCTAAACACTTTCTGGATAATTGTAAAGATTGCTAGAAGATTTAAAAAAATGTCCAAAAGTGTCTAGATAGTTTCTAATGATTCCTATAGTTGCCAAAAAGTGACCAGAGACTTACAAATTATTTCTATAGTCGTTAAAGATTGTCCAGATGGTGTCTGATGATATCTATAGTCGTCAAAAGGTGCCCAGAAGATATTTAATGATTTTTACAGTAGTTAAAAGGTGTCCAGAGGATGTCTAATGCTGTCTATAGTCGTCAAAAAGTGACCAAAAGCTTGCTAATGATTTCCATAATCATCAAAATGTATCAAAACGCTTTCTGGATAATTATAAAGAATGCCAGAATATTTTAAAAGATATCCAAAAGTGTCTAGATAGTTTCTAATGATTTCTATAATTGTCGAAATATGTCCAGAATCTTTCTAATGATTTCTATAGTCATTAAAAACTGTCAAGATGGTGTCTGATGATATCTAAGGTCGTCAAAAAGTGACCAAAAGCTTACCAATGATTTCCATAATCGTCAAAAGGTATCAAAACGCTTTCTGGATAATTATAAAGATTGCCAGAATATTTTAAAAGATGTCCAAAAGTGTCTAGATAGTTTCTAATGATTTCTATAATTGTCGAAATATGTTCAGAAGCTTTCTAATGATTTCTATAGTCGTTAAAGATTGTCAAGATGGTGTCTGATGATATCTATAGTCGTCAAAAAGTGATTCAATGATTTCTATAGGTGTTAAAAATTGTCCTGAATCTTTCGAATGATTTCTATAATCGTCAAAAATATCCAGAAGGTATTTAATGATCTCTGTAGTAGTTAAAAATTGTCCAGATGGTTTCTGATGATATCTATATGCGTCAAGAAGTGTTCAGAAGGTGTCTAATGATATCTATAGTTGTCAAAAGGTGTCTAGAAGGTATATAATGATTTCTATAGTAGTTAAAAAGTGTACAGAAGCTTTCCAATGATTTCTATAGTCATTAAAAGCTGTCCAGATGATGTCTGATGATATCTATAGTCGTCAAAAAGTGTCCAGAGGATATCTAATGATATCTATAGCCGTCAAAACGTGTCCAGAAGATATTTAATGATTTCTATTGTCATCAAAAAGTGTCCAGAAGCTTTCTAATGATGTTTATAATCGTAAAAGAGTATCCTGAAGGTATTTAATGATTTCTGTAGTAGTTAAAAATTGTCTTGAAACTTTCTAATGATTGCCCTGAAAATCAAAAAGTATCTTAACGCTTTCTGGATAATTATAAAGATTGTCAGAAGGTTTTAAGAGATGTCTAAAAATGTCTAAATAATTTCTAATGATACCTATAGTTGTCAAAAAGTGTCCAGAAGCTTTCTAATTATTTCTATAGTCGTCAAAAGGTGTCCAGAAGGTATTTAATGATTTCTATAGTAGTTAAAAATTGTTCTGAAACTTTCTAATGATTGCCATGACTATCAAAAAGTATTTAAACGCTTTCTGGATAATTATAAAGATTGCCATAAGATTTTAAAAGATGTCCAAAAGTGCCTAGATAGCTTCTAATGAATCCTGGACAAGTAACAATATAACCTAACTTTTTTATGTTAATTTAAAACAAAATTAATATTATTAAACTAAATATTAATTAATCTTTTTATTTTTAGGCTAAGACTGACGAAGAAATATCAACAGAAAAAGAATTTTTAGATACAAACAAAATATGGTTAATGCACCGTTTAGGATTTGCGTTGGCAAAAAAAATTTCGGAATCCGATCATGGAAAAATCAAGATCCAACTTGAACAAACCGGAGAAATTTTGCACGTAGACGAGGATGATGTCGAAAAAGCAAATCCGAATCATTTCGATAAAATCGAAGATGTCACTAATTTACGATACTTAAACGAATCTAGTATATTACACACTCTACGCCAACGTTATGGTTCGAGTCTAATACATACATACGCCGGAAATAATAACCTTTTAGTAATAAATCCAATGACTCCCTTAGCGATTTATTCCGAAAAAATCGTTGCGCTATTTAAAGGATGTAAATCGGAAGATATGCCACCGCATATTTATTCAATGGCACAATCTTCTTATCAAAACATGTTACAATCAAGAAAAGATCAAAGTTTGGTGTTTTTGGGCCGATCGGGAAGCGGAAAAACCACAAATTTTCGACACTCCCTACAATATTTATTAACAGCGGCGGGAGTTTTAAACAAAACCTTAACGGTAGAAAAGTTATCGGCGATTTTCACCATTTTAGAAAGCTTCGGAAATTGTAAAACGATAATGAACTCAAACGCAACCAGATTCACCCAAATCTTTAGTTTAGATTTCGATCAAAGCGGAGTAATCGCCTCGGCGAGCATCCAAACGTTGATGCTCGAAAAAAGTCGAGTCACAAAAAAATTAGAGGGAGAATCATCATTTCACATCATCCAAAGATTAATTTACGGCGTCGACGGAAACTTACGAAAAGAATTATTTTTAGAAAATTTAACATTTTTAACCGAAACCAATTCATTTTTTAATTTCCATCATAAACACGAGGATAAGCAACGGTATCAAACGGAATTTCAAAAATTGTTGAACTCATTTCAAATTTTGGGAATCACCGAAAACGAACAAAAAGCAATTTTTGGAGTAATCGCTTCTATTTATCATTTAGGAGCGGCGGGAGCTACAAAAATCGGAAATCGATATCAATTTTCTAATCCACAGGCGGCCCAAAAAGCTGCGATTTTACTCGGAACGAGCGTTGAGGAATTATCAAGGCATATTTTTGGGTTATCTTCGGGGTTGGCGACTCCGAATGGACCAAGACAACCTTTTAGAACTCCTTCTCCTACAGATAAAGGATTAGAACGGGATGTTACTGGATTAGAAGCTTTAGAAGGGATTATAATTGGGTTTTATGGCGAAGTTTTTAATGCGGTTTCTTCGTTAATTAATAGGTACGTTTTAATTAAAAATATCGTTTTTCTTTTATTATTGTTAGAATAATATAGTATATATGTCTATTAGTATACAGTGCTCGCCAAAAAGTCAGCAACACCCGTTTTATTTCTCTTCCATTTCTCTTTTTGGTGAGCTAATAAAATATGGGGTTACCATTTAAAATTTTCACTTTCTTGCCATTGAATGCGGAAAAAAAGGTAAGTTACTTTTTGACCACCCTGTACAAGATACTGTTATACAGCAAATCTATTTGACAGCATTTGAAGAGTAATCTTACCAAGTTAGAGCTTTTTTGAATAAATATTGGCTGAGATATGGGGTTTTAAAAGCGTGGTGAAATTTACCAAACAAAAACTTAAAATCAAAATAACTCGAAAACGAAAAATGCTAGGTACCAGTAACTTTTATCAAACTCAACTTATTTTTTCGCATATAATTCAAAGGTGCAATAAAAACTATAGCATTCCATTTAAAATAACGAAGTTATGGTCTACTTCCGGTGGACCGGAAGTGGCCACCATCTTGAAAATACTTTAGATCGAAAGGTCGGTATGGACTTCCTACATAAACTAAATTTCAGAAATGTAGATGGAATGGAACAGAAATAAAACGGGTATTGCCGACTTTTTGGCGGACACTGTATACAGATACAGGGTGTATCTGAATGATTGCAACAAACTTCAAGGGGTGATTCTTTAGTGAATTTTAAGGGTACTTTGATATATGAACCATGCGCGATTTCGGCTCCCCTTAGGAGCTACACCCCTCCAAAAATTGGGGAAAATTTTGGTTAATTTTTTTTTCTCAAAAACCAAAATTATTATTATTATTAAAGTATCCTAAAACTTTTTTGTCTCTCTAAAATTTTTTCAACGATTAATTTTTGAGAAAAAAAATACACTCTGTAATGTCTACTAGTATACAGGGTGTATCTAAATTGACGCGAAAGATTTTAAGGGATGACTTTTCAGCGAAAATTATGTCAAAACCTCTTCTCTTTTGACATTTATAACTAACAAATTGTTAGTTTGTTAACTTCATTTTCTTGACTACTAATAACCAATCACTGAATTAATTCACCTGAGCCTGTAAATTATTTTGTTTTTTTTGTGATCAAACTAACAATTTTAAGAGAAAATGACAAGAGACAAAAAAGTCGCGTATTGAATCCCACTATTTAAATCAAGCTTTTAAAGAGAAAAACGTAGACACATTAAAAATTTTTTTCGCATCAATTTAGATATACCCTGTATATGTACTAGTATACATAGTCTATTATACAGGTGTGCCAAATGTCTGGAATATAACCAATAACTTCGCCATTTGTGTTTTTAAAGAAAAGTGTTTCAAATAAAAGTTTCTTTATTAATTGTGAGGCATTTTTTGGTGATATTTGCTTGTCTACATTGTTTTTTGTTTCGTTGTTATGGCAACCAACATTGTTATTTTAAATGGGATGCATTTTTTTGCGTATTTTATTAGGAGGTATTTTATTATATGGTTGTATAAGAAAAAAATCGAGAAAAAATGCATTCTCTAAAAATATTAAATCAGCAAATTATAATCAAAGTAGGCGCTGAAATTGCCGAAATAGTTGACAGCTTTAAATGTCAAAAAATTGACAGTGTTCCCATTTACAATAACAATATTGGTTGTCATAGCAACGAAACAAAAAACAATACAAACAAGCAAATACCGACAAAAAATGCACCACGATTAATAATGATACTTGTATTTGAAACATTTTTCTTTAAAACCACAAATGGCGAACTTATCTGCTATATTCCAAACATTTGACACATCCTGTATGATAACTAACTTCAGCTGGAAAATGTCAACCTCACTTTTGACATATTTGTAATCTTCATTAAAAATCCTTTAAAATGAGTACAAACATGACATATTTATTTTCATTATTAATGAAGTTATGGGCAACTTCCGGTTAGAAATGTCAACCTCAATTTTGACATATTTGTAATCGTCGTGAAAAATTCTTTAAAATGAGCCCAAACAAGATACGTTTATTTCCAATATTACTCGAGATATAAGCAACTTCCGGTTTGAAATGTCAATGTCATTTTGATATATTCTTAATTTTATAAAATGTTTTAAAATTTGTCACAAAAACAAAAATATAATAAAAGAAAATCAAATTAAGGTTGGTATTAATATTTAAAAGTTAATTGCTATCTTCATTGTTGCTAACTTCGGGTTTAATGTTTTTTATTAGAACTTTTTTGTTTTTTGAGATAAGTACGTCATGTTTGGACTCATTTTAAAGGTTGTTTTATAAAGATTACGAATATAATAATGAAATTAAAGTTGACATTAAGACCTGAAAGTATTTTTAATAACTAACTTCAGGTGTAATATTTCAACCTCAATTTTGACATATTTGTAATCTTCATTAAAAATCCTTTAAAATGAGTACAAACACGACATATTTATCTTCAGTATTAATGAAGTTATGGGCAACTTCCGGTTAGAAATGTCAACCTCAATTTTGACATATTTGTAATCGTCGTGAAAAATTCTTTAAAATGAGCCCAAACAAGATACGTTTATTTCCAATATTACTCGAGATATAAGCAACTTCCGGTTTGAAATGTCAATGTCATTTTGATATATTCTTAATTTTATAAAATGTTTTAAAATTTGTCACAAAAACAAATATATAATAAAAAAAAATCAAATTAAGGTTGGTATTAATATTTAAAAATTAAATTGCTATCTTCATTGTTGCTAACTTCGGGTTTAATATTTTTTATTACAACTTTTTTGTTTTTAGAGATAAGTGCGTCATGTTTGGACTCATTTTAAAGGTTATTTTATAAAGATTACGAATATAATAATGAAATTAAAGTTGACATTAACACCTGAAAGTATTTTTAATAACTAACTTCAGGTGTAAAATGTCAATTTCAATTTTGTCATATTTGTAATCTTCATTAAAAATCCTTTAAAATGAGTACAAACACGACATATTTATCTTCAATATTAGTAAAGTTATGGTCAACTTCCGGTTAGAAATATCAACCTCAATCACAGAATAACGCAGAAGTAGAACTCCCTGTCGGACTGTTTGAGTTAGCTTGTATCAATTTTTTGACCTTGGCCAGCGCCAGCCATGTTGAAAAGATGAAATTCAGAACCAGATTAACAGATTATGACCAGACAATGCTATATACAGGTGTCCCGTATATTTTAGTAAAGAATTTAGATATATTAAATATTAAAAAAAAACTGTGAATTACTAAAACATAAATTGATAACTATTAAAAAAATTAATAAGTAATGAAAAAAATATTAACTACTAAAGAAAAACAATATAATAAAATATACAGTGTGTCCCCTTCTTATAGGTGAAACGACTCTAATAAAACGTAAAATTTTTGTTTTCGATATTAATTGTCATTTTTTGTTGTTTGGCCCTGCTTGATTAAAGACTAATTTTGAACATATTTTCAAGTTTTAAAAAACAAGTGAGCCTGGACTGTGAAAGAAAAACTCTTTTTGTGGCAGGTAAAGTACCTTTTCTGTTTACAATACGTCAAAGTGTTACTAAGAAGTTTTGTTCAGAATGAAAAACTATGGCCATATGCAAATTTTCGGAATGATCGGCCTACTTTGGTAAAAATCTTTTTACCTGACACACAAGGAGTTTTCGCTTTAGTGTCAACACTCACTTGTTTTTTCAAACTTGAAGTATGTTCAAAATTAGTCTTTCACCAAGCAGGGCTAAACCCCAAAAAATGACAATTAATATCGAAAAAAATTTACATTTCATAAGAGTCGTTTCACCTATTCGGGGACACACTGTATATTATCTATTCTCAATATGTATATTTATAATAAAAAAAATCCGAAATTAAGGTTGGTATTAATATTTAAAAATTAAAATGTTTTTTATTCTAACTTTTTTGTTTTTTGAGATAAGTATGTCATGTTTGGACTCATTTTAAAGGTTATTTTATAAGGATTTCGAATATAATAATCAAATTAAAGTTGACGATGATGTTGATAATAAAAATTACGAATATAATATTACCTTATTTAATCATTTATTATTTTTAGGTCAATTTCGGCTTCAACACACACAGTTTCCTCAATTTTATTAATCGACGCCCCAGGATTTCAAAATCCAGCCACGTGCGGTCGCCAAACTGGGGCTAACTTCGAAGATCTCTGTCATAATTACCTCCAAGAACGCCTTCAATTATTATTCCACCATACCAACCTCGTAGCTCCAAAAGATCGTTATTTACAAGAAAACGTCGATGTTGAAACGCACGATGACCAAGAAAACTGCATTAACCCAACCCCCTTAGTCAATTTATTAGATAAAACCGGCCAAAATTCTTCCGTTTTGAGAACGTCCCAAAACGACTTAAACGAAGCTGATCGAAGAGGTTTAATTTGGTTATTAGATGAAGAAGCGATTTATCCCGGATCGACGGATGAATCGTTTTTAGAAAGATTATTTACTCATTACAACGAAAGAGATCACCAATTACTATTAAGAAAAGCGGGAAATCACCAATTCATTCTCCAACACCTTCAAGGAACCAATCCGGTACTTTACAACTCAATGGGGTGGTTAAAAAGCAGTCGAGAAAATCACATTTTAAAATCATCAATAACAATATTACAAGAAAGCCAAAAAGACAACGTCACCAAGCTATTCGTATCCTCGAGGGGTTTGGGGGGAACGAATTTCGGGGGCTCTTTGGTCGGGATTGAAAGTTCACAATCGTTGAGGAGGGCTTCGAGCATCCGAAGAACGTTTACCGCGGGAACCGCGGCGATTAAACGAAAATCGATTTGTTTGCAGACGAAATTTACGATAGACGGGGTTGTTGAAACGTTGAGAAGGACGAAATTGAGGTTCGTGCATTGTTTATTACCGCAACATGGAGCTGGAAATTGTGAGATTAATGGTGGAGGGTTTTTGCAAAGACCATCGTCTTCTTCTTCGCTGGGAGTTAATGATGAAGGGATTGTTAATGTGCCATTATTAAGGTCGCAAGTAAGTTATATCAAAAATTATTATAGGTTATGTTAAAATTATGACGTTTCGATTCAATTTGACATTTTAAGATCTACCAAAATACAAAAATTAAAGTGTTTTGGTAACACTGGGATCTTAAACTGTCAAGTTGATTGACGTTAACATAACCTATAATAATTTTTGAAAACCAAATTAATTTTTTTTTATTTTTATTTTAAATTTATTTATTATAAACAATAATTAAATCAAATATTTTTATAAATTATTTATAGTTTATGTTAATCTTAAAATTATGACGCTTCAATTCAATTTGGCAGTTTAAGATCTACCAAAATACAAAAATTAAAGTGTTTTGGTAACACTGAGGTCTTAAACTGTCAAGTTGATTGACGTTAACATAACCTATAATAATTATATTAAATCAAATTAAAATTTTTTTTATTTATTTTTTTAAAATTTGTTTATAATAAAAAATAGTTAAATTAATTATTATTTGAAATTATTTATAGGTTATGTTAACCTAAAATTATGACGCGTCAATTCGATTTGACACTTTAAGATCTACCAAAATACAAAAATTAAAGTATTTTGGTAACACTGGGATCTTAAACTGTCAAGTTAATTGACGTTAACATAACCTATAATATTTTTTGAAAACCAAATTAAATTTTTTTTTATTTTTAGATTCGTGGGGCTCAAATTTTGGATTCATCACGCCTTCACAAACAAGGATTTCCTCATTTTATGCCTTTGGGGGAGTTTCGACGTCGCTTCAAGCTCCTCGCGCCCAATTTCAAGCCGACAAGTCCCGTTTTAGACGAACGCAAAGCCGTCGAAGATATGTTAATGTCCATTGATATGGAATTGACGAGTTACAGGGTCGGATTAAGCCAGGTGAGTTCGTTTATTATATGAAATAAATTCCAATCGTATATTTAACAAATAGCGGTACGTGTTCTTATTTAAAAAATGCGCGCACACTTCTTGAATAGACAATTAACCTCTTTTTTTATGACACTTCTTTAGGAGGAGTTCTCGATACCGCGAAGTGTGAGAACGCTTTGGAATTTTATTTTCTCTCTTTCTCATCGCCGCCTTTATACATACATATTCTATTTGAACGTTACATGCTAATGGAGATATTTATTATATTTGAAATGGACGTAATTGGACGGAACTTGAACGTGACGTGCCAAAAATGCCGCTATGTAAAAGTCTTGGCAAAATTAACCTCAAAAACATCCAGTTTCGTAACCGCATTGTTATGAAACGTTTGTCTTTTTATTGTTTTAATGTTAATTCTGTTTATGTTCTTATTTTGATCGAAAAATTCTCGTCTAAAATCGAAATTTTATTATTTCTGTGAGAATTTTTTGCTTACACGATTATTATTGCCGGATAATAAGAACAACACACAAATTCGTTTGGTGAAAGTGACATTTTTGCGGCGAGTGAAAACTCGTCTCTTCAGGTATCGCCCCCCGAGGGCGTTTTGATGCACGTTTCACTTTGCACTATTACCTACTCTTCCTCGGGTTTAATAAAATGATACATAGGTGAAAGTTTAAAGAATAAATATTTAAAATTTCATTAAAAAAATTCTTTAAAACCCGCATTTTTCTTGAAATTAAAACTTTTTAAACAATTTTTTTTATTTTTAACTCCTCCAATCGATTTAGAATTAAAAGTCCTTTAAAATGAGCCCAAACACGATATATTTATCTCTAAAAACAAAAAAGTTACGATTTTTTTGAAATGTCATTGATCGTCGATTGTTTTTTTTTTAATATTTTTATATCTTTCTCATTTTTGAAGATAACCAACCCCCGTGTTTGGGCTCATTTTGAAGCATTTTTAATTACTTAATTACTCATTTTAAAGGATTTTTTAATCTAAATTTAAATTAAATTAAATTTATTTAATTTTAACATAACCTCAACATTTTAAAACTTAAAAATAATCATTTTTTTTTCTTTTTAAGCATCACCAATCGATTTAGAATTAAAAATCCTTTAAAAGGAACCCAAACACGACTAATCTATCTCTAAAAACAAAAAAGTGACGTTTTTTTTCGAAACGTCATTGATCGTCGATTGTTTTTTTATATCTTTCTCATTTTTGGAGATAACCCAATCGTGTTTGGAGTCATTTTAGAGGATTTTTTGATTTAAATCATAATCTAACAAGATAAAATTAAATTTATTTAATTTTAACATAACCTCAATATTTTTAAATTTCAAAATAATCATTTTTTTTTCTTTTTAAGCATCACCAATCGATTTAGAATTAAAAATCCTTTAAAAAGAACCCAAACACGACTAATCTATCTCTAAAAACAAAAAAGTTACGTTTTTTTTTTCGAAACGTCATTGATCGTCGATTGTTTTTTTATATCTTTCTCATTTTTGAAGATAACCCAGTCGTGTTTGGAGTCATCTTAAAGGGTTTTTTCATTTAAATCATAATCTAACAAGATAAAATTAAATTTATTTATTTTTAACATAATCTCAATTTTTTTAAACTTCAAAATAATCATTTTGTTTCTTTTTTAAACATCACCAATCGATTTAGAATTAAAAATCCTTTAAAACGAACCCAAACACGACTGATCTATCTCTAAAAACAAAAAAGTTACGTTTTTTTTCGAAACGTCATTGATCGTCGATTGTTTTTTTTATATCTTTGTCATTTTTGAAGATAACCCAATCGTGTTTGGAGTCATTTTAAAGGATTTTTTGATTTAAATCATAATCTAACAAGATAAAATTAAATTTAACATAACCTCAATACTTTTAAACGTCAAAATAATCAATTTTTTGTTTTTTAAACATCACCAATCGATTTAGAATTAAAAATCCTTTAAAAAGAACCCAAACACGACTAATCTATCTCTAAAAACAAAAAAGTTACGTTTTTTTTTCAAAACGTCATTGATCGTCGATTGTTTTTTTATATCTTTCTCATTTTTGAAGATAACCCAATCATGTTTGGAGTCATTTTAAAGGATTTTTTAATCTAAATCATAATCTAACAAGATAAAATTAAATTTATTTATTTTTAACATAACCTCAATATTTTTAAACTTCAAAATAATCAATTTTTTGTTTTTTTAACATCACCAATTGATTTAGAATTAAAAATCCTTTAAAAAGAACCCAAACACGATATATTTATCTCTAAAAACCAAAAAGTTGCGATTTTTTGAAACGTCATTGATCGTCGATTGTTTTTTTTATATCTTTCTCATTTTTGAAGATAACCCAATCGTGTTTGGAGTCATTTTAAAGGATTTTTTAATCTAAATCATAATCTAACAAGATAAAATTAAATTTATTTATTTTTAACATAACCTCAATTTAAAAAACATTTTTTTAACATCACCAATCGATTAAAAATTAAAAAATCCTTTAAAACGATCCCAAACACGACGTATTTATCTCTAAAAACAAAAAAGTTACGATTTTTTGAAACGTCATCGATCGTCGATTGTTTTTTTTTTAAATTTTTTTATATCTTTCTCATTTTTGACGATAACCCCTTCGTGTTTGGGCTCATTTTGAAGCATTTTTAATTACGAACCTAAAAATATAAATAAAATCCCGTTATTTATAACCAAAAAATTATTCAAATTCATTTAATGTCAGATAAAAATTGTTTAATTGTAACTAGATCATCCCACACGCGTCGTTTTTCTTTATTTGTTATTTTTTATTCGGCTCCGCGCCGTCAACAAGTCAAGGTTAAGTTAAAATACAAGTGTAGTATCTCATTACATTTCCCTTTTCGGTTTTATTTTTTTCTTTCTCTATAATCTCGTTATTCCTTTTTGTTTCTTTTTTCGTTCTTTTTTATTTTGATTCAAAACGAAACCGCAAAAGAGAAGATTCTCGAAAGAGAAGCTATAGCAGCAGGTGGTTTTCTTCTTTTTCTTACTCTCTCGATCTTTATTTTGTCTTTTTTTCTTCTTTCTTCCTTTCTCTTTCTCACTCAGTTCACTCGCCTCTTTCTTTCTTGCTTTCTCTCACTCCCCCAATTTATTATTACAATTTCCGTCTCACTCCTTTTTTTAATCGCGAGAGAGAAAGAAAGAAGGGAATGAGAGGGAGCGAAAGAGAGAACTTGAACTCTCTTTGGCGTAGTTCTTCGTCGCTTTCAAGTTGTTGAGAACTTAAGTTTGAGTTCAGTCTTTACCGAGTTCTTCTTCGTGGTAGTTTGTGGTAGTTTAACTTTTCTCTCTCGATATAACGGCACTTTTACCAACTTAAAGAAAATAAAAATTATAATAAAATAGCTTTTTGTAAAGTGAAAAGTTAAAAAATAGCTTTTGCCGCTTTTCTGACCTGGTTTAGTGCGAAAATAGAACTAAAGGAGGAAAACTACAAAGTGTTTTAGCTTCCGTTTTTCCTTTTTCTGGGTCACTCGGCGTTTAAACTTGGTTTTGCTTTAATTAAAAAATTTAAAAAACATTTTCTAAAGTCTTTCTAAGTGTTTAAAATGTGTATTTGTGCCGCGACCGTGGAAAACGGAACAAATCCGATTCGTTTAATTAGAATCTTTTCATAAAAACATCTTAAAAACACGAGAAAGAGTGATTAGAAACTTTTTGTAATAAAAATGCCTTCGGATAAGTTCAAGTTTAGCAACGCAAAGAGTAGCATGATCAAAAAGCTCTATAATAGTCACAAAAAATTGCTGGGAAGGAGTGATAAAAGTGATAAGAACCAAAAAATAGAAGAAAAAGCAACGAAAATATCCAACAAAAACGATTATAAAGAAGATTTAAGTGAAAATATTTACGAAAATCTTCAAATTTCTTCAACATCGTCTCATTTATTCAAAAGTGATGTCACTTTTATCGAAATTTCAGATAATGACTCAAAATCAATCTCAAATTGTGATGAATTATCGTTGTCAACTTGTTCTTCAAGCTCAAATGGAGGAAAAACTTCAATATATCTTAGCCCGGATGCTTCAATTTGTTCAAACTTGGAGAATAACGTCACAATAATCGAAGTTTCTGAACCATCCCCTAAAAAAGAATCTTTCCAAAAAAATAAGCTTGAAATTGTAATTGATAATTTTGATAAAATCTATAATGAGCACAAAGAGTTGCAAAATACTGCAAAACCAAAATTGGTTAAGTCCAAAACTTGTTCGATTATTGAATCGAAATGTATTTTGAAGAAAAAACCAGAAAAAGAAAATCAATCGAAAACTTTAATCAAAACGAAAAGTTTGTTTAATTTAGATGTAGATGATGAAAATTTAAGATTATCTTTTCCAAATGCGGATATCTTGAAGCTAGTCAGCGAGTTTAACCAATTAAAACAAGCCGAAAAGGCGCAACTTGGTCCAAATGAACCTGCAAAAGTAAAAGAAATAGTTAAAAAAATTAACAACATAACCTCAAAAACAAATTTGACAGATAAAAAGTTGGGTTATAGGCAAAGTAAGATTCCAAAAGCTACGAGTTGTAACGATTTATCCACAAAAAAGTTACTTACCGTGTCATCGAAGATCCCGATTAAATCAAATTTGAATAAAACGTTTCCAAGTACTCCAAATAATCTAGAAAAATTAGATTTGACTTTAGGATGTACGAAAAATGCAAGAAGAGTCTTACCAAAAGCGCAAAGTACGTTAAGCTTGGTCAAAACTAACTCAAAAGAGTGCTTAATAAAGAATAAACCCAAAATTATTGCTAAAAATTTAAATACAAAATTAAGAAGCGAACATAACCTAAAAAATAATATCGTTTGTGTTAATAAAGAAGAAATTGAAGCGAAACGAATTGAATTGAAGAATGATAAGAAACTTTTAGATATTGATAGAAGTAATCAAAAAAATACTTCTAATAAAGTTTTAAGTAATAAAAGTTTAAGTATAAACGGCGAGAAGCACAATTTTAATGCCGATAAAGAAGAAATTGACGTAAATCGAAACGAAATTAAAAAAATTCAAGAAATCGATAAAAATAATCAAAAAGATGATCAAAAATGTAAAGTATTAATTAAAACATCAAAAAATCTTAAAAATTTTAATTCAACTTCAAAAGTTGATAAAAATATTAATCATATTAATGAAGGTGCCGATAAGGTAGAAATTGATAAGATCCGAAACGTCAAAGAGAAGAAACTCCAAGAAATTAATAAAAATATTACGATTAAAGAAAACGATGAAAAAGATCAACAACAAAAAGGTGCCATTCAAAAAAGTATCGCAAAAAAAGAGGGACCGTTTAAAATAAAACCGCAAGATTTACGAAAAACTTCAAACTTAACCCCAAAATCGAACGTAACCTCAAAAAACATTCGGGTCGAAGAAAAACCGAATCAAATCGATCTTAAAAAGGTTAAATCAACTTTAAAATGTACTAAACCTAAAACTAAAATAATAAAGGAAACTAAATCGAATGAATTAAATAAATTGAATGATGCGGATTTATCGACTTTTGGTGAGATAAAATTGGATTTAAAACCTAAATTTGTTGAAATCATCGATGGTGTTTCAACGGAATGCGTAAAGCGGAGTTTAAAACGAAGTGAAACGTATAAAATAAGTGAAAAGAATCATTTAAAACGTCTCCAAAACACGGAGGCTAATTTAAAATTATCGAAAGAGTTAATTTATCAAGATTTATTAAGTGAAGATTTTAATTCGGATGATTCGGGAAATATTTCAAACGATTTGGAATTCGAGGAGTTACAATTTAAACCTTCCACGATTATATTTTCAAGTAACGAGTCGTTAAATGGGATTAATAAATTGCAAAATGAGGAAGAGAAGGTTAAAATTGCTTTAATTTTTTAATTTAATTAAATAAAATTGAGTTAAATAAGATTTTTTTGTTACAGATTTTCTTTCGAACCGGAATATTAACCCAATTAGAATCGCAACGGGATGAAAAACTCGCGGGAATGGTGATTAATCTTCAAGCGAATTGTCGGGGATTTTTGGCAAGGAAAAAATTATCTCAAAGGAAGCTCCAAGATCTCGCCGTACGTTGCATACAGAGGAACGTTAGGAAGTTTATGTTGGTGAGGGATTGGGCGTGGTGGAGGCTTTTGGTGCGGGTAACCCCGTTATTAAATGTACATCGAACTGAGGAGGAATTAAAATTGAAGACGGTGAGAGATTAATTGATTAGATTATTTTTTAAACAAAAAATTTATTTTGTAATTTGTTTTTTTTTGAATTAGGAGGAGTTGGAGTTGTTAAAGATGAAGTTGGAGAAGATTGAGGCTGATAGGAATAATTTAAAGAATCATAATGATAAATTAGAGGCAAAGGTAAGTACATAAATTTAATAATTTCCAATGAATTTCCATTACAATTTCATTTGGTGTCTTATTACTCCTGTTGTTTATGTGGAGTTAAGCCAATTGAAATAAATAACTTCTATTTTGGCGGATTTTCCACTCCATGTCTATTTTTTTTTATTTGAGTGCTTACAATCTATGTTATAAATTAACTCTAATATCATTTGATATTGCCAATTTTTATATAAATACCTAAATGGGAAAGATAGTAGAAATTTTAATTTTGGTCACATCAGCTTTGATTTCATTGTTGATATCGTCCTTTATACTTTGTCGTCTTTTTTAACATCATTTATAGCATTAAAATTGTATGTTCCTTCATCTCTCAACATTATAATATGCTTTTCTCAACATCCTCCTATCAATTTTTGACATTGACATTTTAGGGTTTCTGTTGGTATGATTTAGGGTCTTTATAAAATTTATTTTAATTGAAAATTTTTATTTAATTCCAATTATACCTGTACAATTTCAAAATAAAAATTACATCTTTCTTTTCGTATAAAACTTTAAACATCGCTTTGACACAAATTTATTTAAAAACACTTTTTTTTTACTTAACATTTCAACACGCTCGCGCGAACTTCAGGTCACGTCCAATTTCGCACTAACGCCATCTATCGTTGCATAGCTCCGAAGTCGGCCGAGTTCACTTTTTGTAGCCGTTTAAAATGATACAATTGCTTCTTATAAAGCGCTGAAATGGAAAAAAAATAGTCAAAGATACGCGGCATAACCCGAAACTTTCTAGTATTAGTTTTATTTCTATCACAGAGTGAGTTAAATACATTTTTTTTAATGAAACATCAAAAATGTCACTTAAAAAAGTGAGGTTAGGTTGTGTTGGAAAAGTGAGGTTGGGGCAGACGGAAAACAGATCATTTTTCAAACTAACACGGCCGTTTTCGAAGACATCGGCCGCTCTCGACCTTTGCAAGGGCCAAAACATTCAATACCTTGTGTTAGATTCCTGTAATTTGTGTTTAAGGAAAAATAAAGAAAATATATTAAAAAAAAGAAAAATCGTCAAAGACACACGGCATAACCCGCAAATTTCTAGTTTTAGTTTTATTTCTATCATTGAGTCAGTAAAATGAAAATTTTTTGTAATGAAACGTCAAAAATGTCACTTAAAAAAGGTGAGGTTAGGTTGGGTTGGAAAAGTGACGTTACGAGAGACGGAAGATAGATCATTTTTCAGACTAACACGGCCGTTTTCGAAGACATCGGCCGCCCCCGGCCATTGCGAGGGCCAAAACAATGAAAACCTTGAATTGGATTCTTCAAATTTGTGTGTAAAAGACATTTCGGGATCTTTGCGGGCGGCCGACGTCTTCGAAGTCGGCCGAGTTCACTTTTTGTAGCTGTTTTAACCTAAAATGAAAGAAAAATTGTTAATGACTCACGTAAAACAAAGTTTTAGTTTTATTTCTATTACCGAGTGAGTAAAATAATTTTTTTTTAATGAAACGTCAAAAATGTCACTTAAAAAAATTGAGGTTAGGTTGATTTAGAAAAGTGAGGTTAAGACGAACGTAAGATAGATCATTTTTCAAACTAACACGACCGTTTTCGAAGACATCGGCCGCCCCCGGCCATCGCGTTGGCCAAAACATTGAAAATCTTGACTTGGATCTGTCAAATTTGCGTTAAAGACATTTCGTGATCTTCGAGTTCACTTTTTGTAGCTGTTTCAAGCGAGATGACTTCTTATGAATCGTTTAGATTTTTTTTTGTGAAACGTCAAAATAAAATGTCATTTAAAAAGTAAGGTTAGGAAATCGTCATATTCAATTTTGACATTTGACGTTTCTAACTATTTTATTTTTTAACTCAAATAGATCATGTCATCAAATTAAAGCATTTTTGATTCTTATTAAGTTCATTTTAATATTTATCAAAAAATCGTTTAATTTTGACATTTGACAGTTTCTAATCTAACTTTCTATAAAGTTTACAACTTACAGTTTTCTGTCGGTTCTAAGATTGAGAATTACGCCTTTTCGCTACCTTTATTTATGTAAATTTATTAAAAATAATTTTAGAACTTACCTTTATTGATCGTAGCAATTTTTTCTTCATTAACAAACAACCTCTTATCTACAAACAATTTAAAACATCAATTTAAACAATAAAAACAACATTAACCTCAGTTTTCAGTGATTTTTTTAAAGACTTATTGACAAATCACCATGGTAACGGCAGGTTAAATACTTATTAACACAATTTAAGCTCATTTTTTCTGCCGATGTAATAAGAAATAAAACTAAAACTAGAAATTTTGAGGTTGTGCCGTGCGTCTTTGACTTTATTTCTAACGCAAAATGAGTAGAATACATTTTTTTTTAATGAAACGTCAAAAATGTCATTTAAAAAAGTGAGGTTAGGTTGTGTTATTAAAGTGAGATTAAGAATCTTCAACTTCTTCATCTTCAACAGATTTCAAGATAGACTGAATAGACATTATTTCGTGCTTTCGGGGGCGGCCGACGTCTTCGAAGTCGGCCGAATTAACTTTTTGTAGCTGTTTCAAGCTAAAATGAAAGAAAAATCAGTTTCAAATTTCTAGTTTTAGTTTTATTTCTATCATTGATGAGTAAAATGAAATTTTTTTTAATGAAACGTCAAAATATGTCACTTGAAAAAGACTCATGGGAGGTAGCGCCATCTGTTGGAAAAAGTCTAAAATGTACGTGTGTAACTAACTTCTCATCATGTCAAGTATTTTGACGTTATTTAAAAATGCGAATTACTATTTGATTTCGTTTTTTATAACGTAAAATGTGTACGAGTGACTAAAACGAACTATGAAGCAAATTCTTTTTAGTTTTATTTCTAAAACTAAGTGAGTTAAATAAACTTTTTAAAAAAAAAACGTCAAAAAAGTGTCATTTGATAAAGTGAGGTTAGGTTGTGTTGAAGAAGTGAGATTAAAAATCGTCACCATCATTTTCTAGCACAGCTTTAAAACAACACGGCCGTTTTCGAAGACATCGGCCGCTAAAACATTAAAATCCTTGAGTTGGATCTCTACTCACATTTGTCAGAATGGACAATTCGTGCTCTCGGGGGGCTTTCAAGCTAAAATGAAAGAAAAATCGTCAAAGATATAACCAACATAACCAACAAATTTCTAGTTTTAGCTTTATTCCTATCACAGAGTGAGTAAAATAATTTTTTTTTTTAATGAAACGTCAAAAATGTCATTTGAAAAAGTGAGGTTGGGACAGACTGAAGATAAATCATTTTTCAAACTAACACGGCCGTTTTCGAAGACATCGGCCGCCCCCGGCCATTGCGAGGGCCAAAATATTGAGTTGGATTCTTTAAATTTGGGGGTAAGAACATTTCGTGATCTTGCGGATTTGAGATTTCACTTTTTGTAGCTGTTTCAAGCTGAAATGAAGGAAAAATCCTCAAAGACACGTTGGAGACGATGAAGAAGAAGCCATGGAAAGTAGTAATAAACGACGTATTGAGAGGGAGGAGCTTTCTGGATAATAAAAAGGGGTGTAAAGGAGTGGTGACATTTAAAATATATAGATAATGCTGGGGAGATTGGAAGAAGAAATGGAGGATCCCCAAATACTTATTAACCTCAAAGACACACAGATTGCTAGTTTTAGTAAAAATTATTAAAATATCTTTTGATAAGAAACGTCATGGCAACCTCATTGACAACACTGTATATTAAATATGTCCCCTGGTGATTATGCAACCAATATTGCTTATAATTTTTTCTCAAATTTTTCATCAAATTTACCCAAATTTTTACTAATAGAGCAAATTACACATTTATACCCCGCACAAATAACAAATCCTTGTTATTGGATATTCTTTTAATACTTTTTGAGTTTAATACTGAATGAATTTTTATTAAAAAAGTTGATTTATCGAATTTTAACGGCCGTCATCTGATACTTGAACGTAAATTCACAACAACATCCGAGTCCAAAAACTTTGAACCCCTGGCGCTTTTAAAAGCCGCGCTTAAAAATAACCCAAACGGTCAGAGAACGACGTTTTTGGCCCAGATCCAAACGAAAAAAAATTCAAAATCTAGTTTAAGCCGCGTCATCATCGCATTTATTAAACACAAATCATCCCGATAAAACAACTTTAAGGTTATTTTAAAATTTTTGATTAATAAATAAATAATTAAAAAAATTATTTACGTTTATTTGAATGCTAATTAATCGTATTTCGGTTAAAAATTGCTTTCCTAAGTGGAATTGTTGGTTTAGGTGTAATATAAACTGGTGCATGTAGTTTTAGATGTAGTTTGAAGAGTGGGGACTCGAAAAATGCTGGTTTAAAAATAACCCGGAGGAGACGACGACCACCGAGCTCTCCCGGAGAGGTTTAACTTTAGGTTATTTTAGTATTTCGCACAACATGATGTGGTGAAGATCCTTTTTAACACAAAAATGATTGTTTAAACATTTCCAAAATGCCTCTAAATCCATCAAGTTACTCGAAAATTTTTAAAAGCAAATACGTCCAAGACGACGACGACGAAGAAAACAATCAAAATTTAAACACAAACGAAGAAAACGATTTAGAAGGGACCTCATCATCGAGTTTTGTGCCGAGCTACTCAAACCCGAAGGTACAAGAGCTTCTATCGAAACCAAGACCCGATTTTGATAAGATCTTCTCATCGAGATATCTCCAAGACGATCTAAAATCAACGAAAACACCGAGTTTTCGAAGCTCCTCTGTTGGTTTTGAAACAAAACCGAGAAACACAAACATAACCTCAAATTTACCTCCTCCAAAGGATTACGATAAGATTTTCACTTCCCGCTATTTAAACGATGATTACCAACCTTTAAAAAATACAAGAAAAAGTGTTAATCCATATCTAAGCGATGAAGATGACGCCGATAACAACGAAATCTCCATAAAACATCTCCCACCATCCCGGGGGGGATCTATAAGAAGATCGGTCCCCCCAATTAATCGTTTAAAATACAACGAATCCTACCCAACCAAACAATTCGATTTAAAACCAACGTATGAAGATGACTTTGAATCAAAACCGTTAAGAAAAATCTATTCAAGATCAGTTACGCCATCTATTAGATCGGAAAGTTCTTATTTAAGATCAGAAACCCCATCGAAATCTTCGTACAAAAATTTTTCTTTGGATGATAAAGACGATTCTTCGGTGGTTTTAGACGCTAATCTCACCTTTATATTGGGTTGTAAATCGAAATTGAAGCAAAACGTTAAAGCCGTCCCTGCTTTTAAGGAGACCGACACGAAAAGCAACGCTTTATCGTCGAAAATCGCCGATTTTTTGACGCGGACGGATCACGTGATGGAGGAATGGGGCGAAATGGGGAAGAATCGCAAAAGAAAGTGTGGGGATAAGTCGATGTCGATTAATGGAAAGTCGAAAAGTGCTACGAATATTATGATTAAAGGGTTTCAATTGTATAGTAAAGCGAATAGTGTGGATAGAGGGATGTCGTCGAGATGTGGCGATGACGATGAGAATACGCAGTATGAAATCGATGAGGTATAAAATAAAATAAATTAAAAAAATGTAATAGGATTTTGAAATTTGTTTGTGTAGAGTCTTCTAATTAATTTAAATTTATTGGGTTGTAAGTCATCGGGAAATTTTCAAAATCCTGTTCGTCAAAAACGTTTAAAATGTGTTGTGTTAGTCTTCACCTAGTAATTTGTAATTAATTGTAACTATGTAACTCCGTTTGTAACTCCAAAAAAAAAATTAAGATTATTAAAAATATGTTGTTTTTTGGGCCTTTTTGTGTTTTTGTTTTGTCTTCATCTCTCGATCCATTTGTGCCTTAAAATGTACATCCTAATACAAAAATTTAAGCTTTTTAGGTTCTAAAAGTTAAGCATCATCGCTTAAACACTCATTTTAAACATTGCAAGTAAGTGGGGGATACAAAAATATTGATTAGTTAACTAATATTCTTAATCTTCATAAAAAATCCTTTAATTAGAGTCCAAACATGACATATTTAGCTCAAATACTTTCCGAGGTATTTTAATTTTAACAATTTTTAAAAATCAAGATGGCCAAAAATGAATGATTCCTAAATATTCTGGTAGGAAATTAAAAAACGCATTAAATGAGTCCAAACACGACTTATTTAATTAAAATACTTTCCGAGATATTTTAATTTAAAAATTTTTGAAAATCCAAGATGGCCGAAAACAAATGATTCGCAAATATTTTGGTAGGAAATTAAAAAACGCGTAAAACGAGCCCAAACTCGACCTATTTATGTGTTAAAACATCGGAGATATCTTTAATTTATAAAAAACAAGATGGCCGAAAACAAAACACTAAAAATCGCGCCATCTATCCGTTTAGAAGTAAATTTTATGTTGGGTATAGAGTGTGATACATTAAATTAGGCTAAAATTTTCTGATTTTTACGAAAATCTTATTGATTATGAATTATTTGAAAAATTTTAGTTAATTTTTTTGACATTTTTGATTTTAAAATTTTTTAATTAAGTGATATCTTAATAAATTTGATATCTAGTTAAAATTTCGATTAAATTAAATTTAATTAATTTAACTTAGAAAATAATCGAGATTAGGACAACTTCCGGTTTAAAATTAAATTTACTATTTTCTTAATATTGATGAAAAATTCTTTAAAAAGAGTCCAAACTCGGATTATTTAATTAAAATATTTTCAAAGATATATTAATTTTAACAATTTTTGAAAATCCAAGATGGCCGCAACCAAATAATTCGTAAATATTCTGGTAGGAAATTAAATAACGCGTTAAATGAGTCCAAATTCGACCTATTTATGTGTTAAAACATCGGAGATATCTTTGTTTTTTAGAAAACAAGATGGCCGAAAACAAAACACTAAAAACTGCGCCATCTATCCGTTTAGAAGTAAATTTTATGTTGGATATAGAGTGTGATACATTAAATTAGGCTAAAATTATCTGATTTTTACGAAAATCTTATTGATTATGAATTTTTTGAAAATTTTGAATAAATTTTTTTAACATTTTTGATTTTAAAAATTTTAAATTAAGTGATATCTTAATAAATTTGATATCTAACTAAAATTTCGATTAAATTAAATTTAATTAGTTTAACATAGAAAATAATCGAGATTAGGACAACTTCCGGTTCAAAATTAAATTTACGATTTTCTTAATATTGATGAAAAATTCTTTAAAAAGAGTCCAAACTCGGATTATTTAATTAAAATACTTTCAAAGATATTTTAATTTTAACATTTTTTGAATATCCAAGATGGCCGAAAACGAATTTTTCATAAATATTACGGTAGAAAATTAAAAAACGCGTTAAATGAGTCCAAACTCGACCTATTTATGTGTTAAAACATCGGAGATATCTTAGTTTTTTAAAAACAAGATGGCCGAAAACATAACACTAAAAATTGCGCCATCTATCCGTTAGAAGTAAATTTTATGATAGGTATAGAGTGTGATACATTAAATTAGGTTAAAATTTTCTGATTTTTACGAAAATCTTGTTGATTTTGAAAATTTTTATTACACTTTTATGACATTTTTAATTTTAAAAATTTTTAATTAATTGAGATTTTAATTAATTTGTTATCTTATTAAAATTCTTTAAATTAAATGTAATTAGTTCAAATTTTTTTTTTTTTCAATTTGGGCAAATTTTAATAAAAAAATTAGTTGCGCCATCTATGTTTTAAAAGAACGTACTTTATAAATGACTAAATTTAATTGGTTACCATGGTGATAGCCGTTTTAAGCACTCTCATTGGCTAATTTACTTTAGTGGAGAATTTAACCCCAAATTTGAAAAATTCAAAATTATAATTAAATTTAAATCATTTTTCGAAATCTTTAATGTTATTAAATCACTTTTTAACATTATTTCGTTTTAAAAATTAATTAATTAGAATTAATTTAATTTTAAATTTCCACTTATAATTTAAGTTGGTAACACTTGATGATCTGTCATTTTTTATCCTGTCAAAATCGTAAATATCTATCACAATAAAAAAACTCAATTTTTCTCACTCAATAACTACATTTTAATACATCAAACGAAAGAAATAATCAAATTTGAATCAAATGGTAATCAACAAACAATTCATAAAGTTATTTTTGAGGTTAAGTTGTGATTTAGCTCTTAATTTAAAAATTTTTTTTTGTGTTATTTATTAATTATTTCCTTTTCTTTTAGTTAAGTGAAATGACCGTTGATTTGGCCGAAGAACACTCAACATCAACTTTAGCAGCGGAACGTTTGGATGTAGAAACCGCTGAAAGAATCCGATTAGAGCGTGAATTAACCGATGTGCAACAAAAAAATAAAAACCTCCAAAGCGCTTCTGAAAAATTAGAGATGGAACTTTTATACGCACGATCCGATTTGAATCACCACCAACAAACGAGCGACGATGACGAAGAAGACGGCGAAAACGAACCTGTTTATAAGCAACGTTACGAAAGGGTGGTGAGGGAGTTGGAATTTACGAAAAGGCGATTACGGCAACAACACGAGGATGATTTGGAACAATTGGTTGGATTAAAAAAGCAGTTAGAGAAGAAATTAACTGATGCTTATGAGGAAGTTGAGGAACAACGGCAAGTTGTTGGTCAATGGAAACGAAAGGTACAAAAATTAACCTCGGAAATGGGTGACATCAAACTCCTCTTAGAAGAGCAAATATCCCGAAACAACATCCTCGAAAAGAAACAACGAAAATTCGACTCAGAAATCCAAAACGTTCAGGAAGAACTTAAAAAAGAGAGGCAATCCAAAGACCGATTATCGCGAGAAAAAGAAATATTAACAGCCGAAAAGTTCGGCATGGAAGGAACCGTCGGAGACTTACGAATGGAATTAGACATGAAAGAGGAGAAATTGCACGCGTTACAAAAAGAATTGGACGAATTAACGTTCGGCGGTAAAACGGAGGAGGAAGTCGCGATTTTAAGGAAGCAAAAAATCGATTGCGAGAGGCGATTACACGACCAAGAGGAAGAATTGGACGAATTAGCGGGGCAGGTGCAATTATTGGAACAGGCCAAATTAAAGTTAGAGATGAGTTTGGAACAACAAAGAAAAGCGGCTAAAAAGGAAGCGCAACAACACGAGGAGGAGTTGGAGGAAGTTCGATGTAATGCACAAAAAAAAGTTAAAGGTAAAATTGATGATTTTTGTTATTAATTAAAGTTTGTCATAACTCAAAAACTAAAAGAGGTAGAGAAAAATATTTTTCAATAAAATTGTTGCTAATGGATTAAAAATACATAATCCATAATCAAATTGAGTCTAGATTTAGTTGTGTGTTAGGGAGAAAATGAAAATCCCCAAAATGTTAAAAATTATGGTTTTTATTCTTAAAGTCGATGATAATTCAAAAATGAAAGGTGATGGAGGAAAATGTTTTGGACATAAATTGTTCCTAATGAAGCTAGATGGCATAATCCATAACCAAATTTAGTTTAGTTGTAACCACTTTTTAGTTAGAAAGTGAAAATCCCCAAAATATCAAAATTGCCGATTTTTGTTATTAATTAAAGTTCATCATAACTCAAAAACTAAAAGCGATAGAGAAAAATATTTTTCACAAAAATTGTTGCTAATGGATCGAAAATACATAATCCATAATCAGATGTAGTCTAGATTTGGTTGTGTTCTAGGGAGAAAATGAAAATCCCCAAAATGTCAAAAATTATGATTTTTATTATTAAAGATAATTCAAAAATGAAAGGTGATGGAGAAAAATATTTTTGACATAAATTGTTCCTAATGGAGCTAAATGGAATAATCCATAACCAGATTTAGTTTAGTTATAACCAGTTTTTAGTTAGAAAGTGAAAACCCCCAAAATATCAAAATTGACGATTTTTGTTATTAATTAAAGTTCATCATAACTCAAAAACTAAAAGCGATAGAGAAAAATATTTTTCACAAAAATTGTTGCTAATGGATCGAANATTCGTGAATTAAATTAATTATTAATAATTTATATAAAAAAAAAATCAAAATTTATTAAATTATGAATAAAATTTCGTAATCTAGATTAAAAATGCTTTAAAATGAGTCCAAACTCGATAGGGTTATCTTTAAAAACAACCAAGATACTATTGTTTTAAAAATATTTTGACAAGTCGTTCTCAATTGTTTTTATTTATTTGTAATTTGTAACTTGTTTGTTTTTTAAGATAACCCCATCGTGTTTGGACTCATTTTAAAGGATTTTTGATTCTTTTCAACCCGAAAACAACGACAACCCAAAATAACCATTTTTATGATCACTTCCGGTTTCTAAATCGAGAAATTTTTTAGATAAATATTTTTGTTTTATTAATTCTTTATTAATTTGATGAATTTTATTAATTGAAGATAATATAAGAAAAGAAATCAAGGAATTCATGAATTAAATTAATTATTAATAATTTATATAAAAAAAAANTAAATCTTTTTGTTTTATTAATTCTTTACTAATTGAAGATAACATAAGATAAGAAATCAATGAATTCATGAATTAAATTAATTATAAAAAATTTATATAAAAAAGAAAAATCAAAATTTATTAAATTATGAATAAAATTTCGAAATCTAGATTAAAAATGCTTTATAATGAGTCCAAACTCGATGGGGTTATCTTCAAAAACAACCAAGATACGATTGTTTTAAAAATATTTTGACAAGTCGTTCTCAATTGTTTTTATTTATTTGTAATTTGTAACTTTTTTGTTTTTTAAGATATCCCCATCGTGTTTGGACTCATTTTAAAGGATTTTTAATTCCTTACAACCCGAAAACAACAACAACCCAAAATAACCATTTTTATGATCACTTCCGGTTTCTAAATCGAGAAATTTTTAAGATAAATCTTTTTGGTTTATTAATTCTTTATTAATTGAAGATAATATAAGAAAAGAAATCAAGGAATTCGTGAATTAAATTAATTATTAATAATTTATATAAAAAAAAAATCAAAATTTATTAAATTATGAATAAAATTTCGTAATCTAGATTAAAAATGCTTTAAAATGAGTCCAAACTCGATAGGGTTATCTTTAAAAACAACCAAGATACGATTGTTTTAAAAATATTTTGACAGGTCGTTCTCAATTGTTTTTATTTATTTGTAGTTTGTAACTTTTTTGTTTTTTAAGATAACCCCATCGTGTTTGGACTCATTTTAAAGGATTTTTAATTCCCTACAATCCTAAAATAGCAGAAACCCAAAATGTTAAATTTCAAATTTTCACCGCCATTTTGGAAGTTTGAATGACACTTCGAGATAAAAAATAAATTGAACTTGTTTAAAAAATCATGATCTTAATGAAAGATCCTTTAATGCGAGGTCAAACACGCCTAGGTTATATTTTATCTCAAAAATTACTCGATATACAAACCGAATGTGAATGAAAAAATTGGCTATTTCGTGTTGATGTGGTTACCGGGTTATAGGGAATTTAAAATCCTTTAAAATGAGCCCAAACACGATGGGGTTATCTTAAAAAATAAAAATGTTAGAATCTAAAAATTAATTAAAACAATTGAGAATCACCTGTCAAAATATTTTTAAAACAATCGCATCTTGGTTGCTTTTAAAGATAACCCCATCGAGTTTGGACTCATTTTAAAGCATTTTTAATCTAGATTACGAAATTTTATTCATAAGTTAATAAATTTCGATTTTAATTTGATTACTTTTTTAAATAACATTTTCATAATTAATTTATTTCATGAATTCTTTCATTTTTTTTTATGTTATCTTCTATTATTAAAGAATTATAAATCAACGTTATTTATTTCAAATATTTCCCCGTTTAGAAACCGGAAGTGATCGTGAAGACGCGAGGATAAACTTTATAGTTTTAGGTCTAGTGTTAGTTCTGGTGGTAGTGGTAGGTAGCGCTAGTTATCATAAGATATTACTGTGTTGTATATTTTTATTGAACTAACACTAGACCTAGAACTTAAGTTCATCATAACTCAAAAACTAAAAGCGATAGAGAAAAATATTTTTCACAAAAATTGTTGGTAATGGATCAAAAATGCATAATCCATAATCAGATTTAGTCTAGATTTAGTTGTGTATTAGGGAGAAAATGAAAATCCCCAAAATGTCAAAAATTACAACTTTCATTGTTAATCTCAATCATAACTTATAAATTAACAACGAGGGAAAAAAATATTTTATACATAATTTAGTTATAATGAACCAATAAGCCATAATCCATAACCAGAGCCAGCTTAATTAAATTTGTTAGTTAGAAAGCGAAAATCCCCAAAATGTCAAATATTATGATTTTTATTATTAAAGTCGATAACTTAAAAATTAAACGTGATGGGGGAAAATGTTTTGGACATAAATTGTTCCTAATGGGGCTAAGTGGCATAATCCATAACCAGATTTAGTTTAGTTGTAACCACTTTTTAGTTAGAAAGTGAAAATCCCCAAAATATCAAAATTGACGATTTTTGTTATTAATTAAAGTTCATCATAACTCAAAAACTAAATGCGATAGAGAAAAATATTTTTCACAAAAATTGTTGGTAATGGATCAAAAATACATAATCCGTAATCAGATTTAGTCTAGATTTAGTTGTGTACTAGGGAGAAAATGAAAATCCCTAAAATGCCAAAATTTTTAACTTTCATTGCTAATGTTCATCATTAATTAATTTTTTATATAACATTTTCATAATTAATTTATTTAATGATTTCTTTTCTTATGTGATCTCCAATATTTTTCTATTTAGAAACCGGAAGTTATCGTAAAAATGGTTATTTTGGGTTGTCGTTGTTTTCGGGTTGTAGGGAATTAAGAATCCTTTAAAATGAGTCCAAACACGATCGGGTTATGTTAAAAAACAAAAAAGTTACAAACTACAAATGAATAAAAAACAATTGAGAATCACCTGTCAAAATATTTTTAAAACAATCGTATCTTGGTTGTTTTTAAAGATAACCCTATCGAGTTTGGACTCATTTTAAAGCATTTTTATTCTAGATTACAAAATTTTATTCATAATTTAATAAATTTTTAATAATTAGTTTAATTCATGCATTCCTTGATTTCTATTCTTAAGTTAGCTTCAATTAATAAAGAATTAATAAAACAAAAATATTTATCTCAAAAATTTTTCGATTTAGAAACAGATTCTAGTTCTTTTTTTTTTACTAGAAATATTCGTGTTTAGCCGTGCGCCAAATAATAATTTATTATTATTATTATTTATTAATTATTATATTCGTAATCTTTATAAAATAACCTTTAAAATGAGTCCAAACATGACGCACTTATCTCAAAAAACAAAAAAGTTATATTAAAAAAAATTAAACCGGAAGTTAGCCACAATGAAGATAGCAATTTAATTTTTAAATATTAATACCAACCTTAATTTCTGATTTTTTTTATTATATTTTTGTTTTTGTGACAAATTTTAAAACATTTTATAAAAATTAAGAACATATCAAAACGACATTGACATTTCAAACCGGAAGTTGCTTATATCTCGAGTAATATTGGAATTAAACGTATCATGTTTGGGCTCATTTTAAAGGATTTTTCACGACGATTACAAATATGTCAAAATTGAGGTTGACATTTCTAACCGGAAGTTGACCATAACTTCATTAATATTGGCGATAAATATGTCGTGTTTGTACTCATTTTAAAAGATTTTTAATGAAGATTACAAATATGTCAAAATTGGCCTCCTCCGAATTGAAAAATAGAAAATAGTAAAAAAAAATATATTTTGACGCTATATCAATTTTTTTAGGTTACCGGTGGTAAAATGTGGCCGTTAATTAATGTTTTATGTTTCACAACGGCCGTTTTATCATGTTTTTTGGATAACGTCACAACTGCTTTATTAATGACCCCAGTTACGATAAGGTAATTTTGGATTAATTCATTCGGATGAATTTTGAAATTGATTTTTTAGGCTTTGCGAGGTTATGAAAATTAATCCAGTTCCCGTTTTAACAAACATGGTTATTTATTCCAACATAGGGGGCGCTTGCACCCCAATCGGGGATCCCCCAAACATAATCATCGCATCAAACGAAAACGTAATCAAATCGGTACGTTTTTGGAATAAATTTTAATCAAAAAATGATTTTATTTATCATTTTTTAGGGGATCACTTTTAGCACGTTCACTTTACACATGTCACTCGGTGTTTTCATCGCTTTAATCGTCGCCAATATCCAGTTAAGAATAATTTATAGAAATGAAAGTGTTTTTAAGTATTCCGAGCCTTCAGAAGTCCATGGTAAATTTTTTTTAACAACTTTTTAATCAATTTTAAATTTTTTTTTGCATAGAAATTCGCAAAGAAATGGAAGTTTGGAAACGAACCGCCGAATCAATGAGCAGCTATAGCAAACAAGAGGTTGCAGTAAAAGACTCGATGATGAAGAGAACTTGCAGATTGGGTAAAAAACTTTATTCGAGGACTTCGTGTAAAAGCTTATCCAGTTTAGATGATAAAAACATCGATCTTCATCAATTAGCAGCAAAAGTAAGTTATTATTTATTTAAAATTTTAATTAAATATTCGAAACGTCAAATTTGACGGTTCAAATTGACAGTTTTAATATTANTATCAAAAAAGTTTCATAAAACTTTCATCGTATAAAGGGGGAAAGTATTTTGAACGATTTTTATTGCATTTTAGAAGCGCCATCAATATTTTTCATTTGTTAAGTATGCTTTTCTAAAGCCCTTACTACACGATCAATATTGACAACACCTTAGCATATTGATAATAATATTGACAAAAATAATAAAGAATTGATTATTATTGAAAAATTTTAGTGACGGTAAATATTGATGGAGTATTGATAAAAATCCGGATTTTTTGATTTTCGAGCGTCAATATTGAAAATTGGAGGGGATATTGACAATACTATTGACCGTGTAGGGTTGGCGCCAATATTTCTATCACTACTCAGTGTAATAAATTCAACATTCAAAATTAAATACCTGCTTTTATTTAATTGTAACAATAACAAAACATGTCTATCAACACACTGAAAAACATATGTTATTTTACCTTTAAAGGGCAAATCATTTTTTCGTTTTTAGAAACGATTTAGTTATGATAATGCAGCTATTTGATCTTATTGATAAGTGATCTCTATAGAAGCCACTAACCGTTAAAGGGTTAACCCAGATGATTTGAAAACAGGTTTAATTCTTATTTTCTACATTACACTCAGTTCAGTTCAAGTCGCGCGCCTGTGAATAAGTGGTGAAAATGACCGCCCCATTAACTGACGTTGTTGACGTTCAAGACGATGAAGATACTGTTGGTTCATCTAGTTCATTCAGTTGGTCTTGTAGGACATATATAAAGGTTTGACAGCTTTCTATTACAGCTTTGCTGATAGTTGCTGGGGACATTATAACAGNAAGGTGATGGAGGAAAATGTTTTGGACATAAATTGTTCCTAATGGAGCTAAATGACATAATCCATAACCTGATTTAGTTTAGTTATAACCATTTTTTAGTTAGAAAGTGAAAATCCCCAAAATATCAAAATTGACGATTTTTGTATTAATTAAAGTTCATCATAACTCAAAAACTAAAAGCGATAGAGAAAAATATTTTTCACAAAAATTGTTGCTAATGGATCAAAAATACATAATCCATAATCAAATTGAGTCTAGATTTAGTTGTGTTCTAGGGAGAAAATGAAAATCCCCAAAATGTCAAAATTTTTAACTTTCATTGTCAATGTCAATCAGAAGTTGTAAATTAACAACGATGGAGAAAAATATTTTATACATAATTTGGTTATAATGAACCAATAAGGTATAATCCATAACCAGAGCTAGCTTAATTATAATCATTTGTTAGTTAGAAAATGAAAATCCCCAAAATATCAAAATTGACGATTTTTGTTATTAATTAAAAAATTATTAAAATTATTATTATTTTTTATTAAGTAAAATTATTACTAAACAAACGTTAATTAAGTTTTAATATTAATTTTGATTTTGATAGAAATGTTTTAAACGTCAAATTGACGTTTGACATTGACGGTAATACGATTTTAGTGATTTTGTAAATTAGGTCAAATGACATAAAGAAAATGACAGCTGAAAATGTCAGTTTAAACGTTTTAATTACGTTTTATTTTCAAATTTACTTATTTTTTAGCGTTGGAGGCTCAATTAGAAAATGAGCACGAAGAAAGAACTGTTTTATTACGAGAAAAGCACGAATTAGAAAGGCGATTAGCAAGCGCATTGGAAAATGATCGTAATGATAAAGCGGTGGATGAAGCGGTGGTCCAAAGATTAAAAAGGGATTTAAAGAGAACGAAAGCTTTATTAAGAGACACCCAAATGCAATTGGACAGACAAAGAGCGGAAAATCCAAGTAAGTTATTACTACTTTAATAAAATCTAAAATTAATCATTAATTAACCTCACTTTATTTTAAGGTAAAACATTAATTCGTCAACTTCGCAACCAAATCGAAGACTTAGAATGCGCTCGTACCACCGCGCTAAAAACGAAACAAACTCTCGAAACCGATTTATCCGAAATTCAATCTCAACTTGAAGAAACAACTCGCATTAAATGCGACCTCGAAGAAAAATACAACTCGAATTTGCGCGAAAAATCCGACCTTCAAAACCAAGTGGAAGAGAACGAAGAGGAATTAGCGGAGGTTTTAAAAAAATACAAAACGACCGTACAACAAATGTCGCTCGATCAAATCGCCCTCCAAGAACAAGTCGCCCTCGTCGCCGAATTAGAAACGGAAAAAGCCGCGTTAAAGGAGCAATTAGCTGAGATGTCGAGTCGATTAGAAACCGTTGAGAATATGGGCGATGCATCCTCGAACGTTTTGGTGCGAAAAAATGAGATGAAAGTCAAAGAATTAGAACATAAATTGGATTTGGAGCAAACGACGCGGCAAAGATTGGAAGTGCAAATTTCGCGGTTAAAAGAGGCGGTGGAAAAGTTGCAAAATGAAATTGGAGTGATGAGAAATAAAGAGCAAACCGGGCAGGAGTTAATTAGAAAGTTGCAGAGACAAATTAGGGAGTTACGAGATGAACATAATACCGCTTTAACGAAAGAGGGGGAGTCGATTTTGAAGCGGAAAGAAATTGAGAAAAGATATGAAGCTTTAGAGGCGGAAACCACAACAGTGAGGGGAGATTTAAGATTGGCTTTGAAGAGGATCGAGGATTTACAAGCGGTGATACAAAATGATTTAGAAGATAGTAGTGAGCAATCTGATAGGTGAGGTTTTTTATGCAAAATTTGTGTTTTTTTGTATAAATTTTTGATTGTTTTAGCGAAATAGATAGTTTAAGCTCTGAAGATTCGGTAAATTCGTTTTTGAAACACCACAAATTGAGCGTGAAACCGAGTAATATGCAAATTGAATCGACTAAACCGTAAGTAAATGATTTTAATTAAAATAAATGATATCGTTTGAGGAGTTTGGGTTTTTTTTGTAACAATTAATAATGATTTCAGTCGTTCAACGAGTGTAAATAGTATAAAAGACACATCATACGCATGAGTAGCGCTGAATTTCTGCAGAAGCATCTCTGTGACCTTTTGCAGAAATTCCAATGAAGAAATCGAACAGTACGTTTGAACAAACAAGACAACAATCATTTAATATTAAAGAATGATTTGTATTTTTATTTTATTAATTTTTTCAAACAATTTTTACCGTTCATTTCCTTCATTTCCTTCCACCATTTTTTCTTTTTAGTAAACAAATTCTATGCAATAACGAATTAATTATTACCATCGTCGCTTTTAGGTAAAAACGAATTGCATATTGCTATTATTACCAATATTATAAAGAAAAAATGTAACAAAATATCAAATCATACCTACCTACACCTTGTATCATATTGTATGTATTTAAATATAGTTTATTATTATTATTGCATTATATAAATATATAAATGGTGTATATCTGATAAAATATTTAAAAAATTAAAAGATATATTGATGTATTTAAATAGTTTTTGCGTTGTAAACACTTGTAGTTATATTATACATAGTTCTATTACAAAAATAATGTCGTAGACCGTTTATTACCACAACATGTTAGTTGATGTAAAAATAAATACAAAGCAAAAACCAACCGAACATAAAAGAAACGATCAAATAAAGATCTTTTTGTTAAAAAACGTTAAATTTTAAACCCATTTCCATGCCGTATGAATTTGTCTTTTATCACCACACCAATTATAAATAAATTCTTCGATCACCATGAAGTGCCAAAAAATGTTTCCCGAAAAAACTAAACCTAAATGAATCCAAACGTATCTCAAAAAACCTAAATAAATTTCATTATGACAACATAACCTCACAAATGGTTTTTAATTTGGAAACGATGCATGTTTAAAGTAAATTTAGTTTCCATGGCAACGATCAGACCAACATAACCTAGGGTTTTTTAACCTAGAATTTGGGATGTTTTTTAAATTCGTTTGAGGTAAGCACGATGATATTTTTTGACTCATTTTTTTTATTGAGTCTTGTTATATTCGTAATCTTTATAAAATAACCTTTAAAATGAGTCCAAACATGACGCACTTATCTTAAAAAACAACAAAGTTTGAATAAAAAGCATTAAACCCGAAGTTAGCAACAATTTAATTTTCTAATATTAATACCAACCTTAATTTTTAATTTTTTTATTATGTATTTGTTTTTGTGACAAATTTTAAGACATTTTATAAAATTAAGAATTTATCAAAATGACATTGACATTTCAAACCGGAAGTTGCTTATATCTCGAGTAATATTGGAATTAAACTTATCATGTTTGGGTTCATTTTGAAGGATTTTTGCCAACGATTACAAATATGTCAAAATTGAGGTTGACATTCCTAACCGGAAGTTGAGCATAACTTCATTATTATTGAATATAAATATGTCGTGTTTGTACTTATTTTAAAGCATTTTTAATGAAGATTACTAATATGTCAAAATTGGGGTTGACATTTTAAACCTGAAGTTAGTTATCATACAGGGTGTCACACAAAAAAGACCCCAAGCTATAACTCCCTCATTTATATTGCGATTTTTATGAACGAGTTATCAAATGAAATGGTTTGATGAATGCTATGATTCATGCTACAAATAAACTTTTTCCAAGGCATTTTTCAATTTTTTCAAAGTGCTCGGTATGTTTTTCTGCACGTTATTGGATAAAGATTCTTTTTCTGAACACAATGAGAACACAGAGAAAAACAAAACATTTTCCGAACATTGTCTTAGTCACTTCTGTAATAGTAACTGTAGTGTGTCATGGAAAAAAGTTTGTTTGTAGCATGAATCATAGCATTCATCAAACCTTGTCATTTGATACCTCACTCATGAAAATCGGAATGTAAATGACAGAGTTACAACTTGCGGAATTCTGGTGTGACAACCTGTATATACAGGATGTCTTTTCTCTGCTAAAATTACATTTAAAACGGATGTATTGTACATCAATGGATTCAGAAAAAAAAATCTCTATCCAATGAGGTGAAGAAAAATATACGCAGCAATTTGATGGCGTTGGAAAAAATTTATTTGTACCATGAATCATAGTATATAAAAAACATTTGATTTGATACCTGGGTCATGAAAATGGGAGTGTAAATAACAGAGTTACAGCTTGGGGCGTTTTTTGTGTGACACCTGTATAATAGACAAATGGACAACTTCATGGTGTTCTTTCATGATATATTATTTATTAAAAAAACCTTTAAAATGTGTCCAAATATGATGCATTTATCTCAAAATGCAAAAAAGAGAATAAAAACATTAACCTTGAATGTTTCTAGTTCTAGGTATAGTGTTAGTTCTAGTTTTACACTATCCCTAGAACTAGAAATATTTGTGTTTAGTCGTGCAATAATTTTGATGTTAATTTTAACCTCAAAAATGACATTTCAAAATATTAAATGGATAAATGAACGTGCCCTAATTTACAGTTTTCTTTCTTTCATAAAAATGATTCTTTCCATTAATAATTAAATCTAAAGAAAACGTTTTAAAACAATTTTATTTCATTTACTCACCGAGTTGAGAAAATGCTATTTTGAAGCAGCCCCAGGGATCTTTGATAGGAGAACTTGGGACTGATTGTATGTCGAAATCCCACCGTAAGATGGCATTAGCGTCTATACGGAATGATGAGAGACAACAATAACAATTATTACCAGTATCATTCTTTTAATTTAAAAAGTATAGATTCTAATTTGTGTTATAATAAGTTGAAGTTTGTTCAGAATGACAGATGAAAACGTCTTTTTAAAGTGATTTTTCGGCAAGAGTATAATAAAGTAATAATGGTATGATTAAATAATTAGATTATAATTGACATTATAGCCTTGTTTCAGCTAACGTTAACTTATAACTGGTTGGAAGCTCGTCAGATGCAATCTCACATGTAGTGATTGTCAAAAGTGACGGCATTATTTGACAGGTGTAATGGGGTCATACACACTTATTAAATTTAGAGAAAATTTTTATGTCAAACGATATATGCAAGTATATGCATGAACACAAAGTAAAAGAAATATTTTGATCAATTTTATATTTTGCGTAATTTGAAGTGAAAAATAGCAAATATTCAAACGAAATAATTTCGCGGCTTTTCTGTGACGTAGGAACCGCACTGCCTAAAACAAGTTAAATTGTCCGTTAGATAGCGCTTGCGGTGTGACAGTGTCAAAATAAAACCATGGATGTAATAGAGTGTCTCTATTACATCCATGAACAAAACATAATAAACATAACCTACAAACACTCTATCTCTTTTCAATACAACCTAAATGACGTTCATCTCTTTCTCGCATTTGAGCGGGGAGCAGGGGACGCAAAAGTGAGAATCGTACGTCATCAACGCGGGACTTTTAAAAGCGCAAATGGGTATATAAATTTTCAATAATTTTTTTAACAATGACTTTGTTCGAAAATATTAAAAAAAAAAATAACGGTAACTATATTTTTATATAAACTTTCAGAAAATATAATAAAAAAAAAATCGTGTATGACCCCATTGCCATAGGTAATTGCATCTGAGGAATTCCCAACCAGTCGTAACGTTAATTATAGCCATATAGTGACTCCAAACAGTTATTCTGTGGTTGGAGCTTTTATATATAAACCCAACTCAACCTGTATTCTAGTGGTTCGGTTCTTAGCTAAATAATTTCAAAAAATCCCCAACAGATGGCGCAGTTCTACGAAGTTATTTTCTGTTTTGAAGTCGAAGGTGTCAACTTCACACTGAATTATGTCGTTTTTGTATTAAAAAAATAAAAAAACAATATATTTTTATTGAACTAAAACTAGAACTAGTCTTCAGACGCACGGCTAAACCCGAAACTTTCTAGTTCTAGATCTAGTGTTAGTTCTAGTTTTACACTGATACTATCACTAGAACTAACACAAGACCTAGAACTAGAATCATTCGGGTTTAGCCGTCTTGAGAGACGTGGGGCTAAACCCGAATGTTTCTGGTTCACGGTCTAGTGTTAGTTCTAGTATTGTACTAGTGATATATCTGTTCTGTGGATTATTGTTGTTGTTATTGACATCCGTTTAGGTTTTGGAGTTCGAACTCTTCGTTCATATCGTGCTCCAAGTACAGAGGTTCCACTGAGTCTTGTTATATTTTATACTTTGTGAATTTTATTTCTTACTTGCGAATGTGGGGTTATGTTAGTTTTTGTGTTAAAATTAGGGTACGTTCATAAATTGTAATTTTAATATTTTAATAAAAAATTTAATTACAATTAATTAAAACGTAATTTAATTAAATCATTTATTATTGTAAAAAGATGACTCAAATTAACTTAAATCTCCTTATTAATATAATTACGAAACAAAAACAAATTTAACCTCACTTTAACACAAATTATAAATCACTCAAGGAGAAATATTTAATCTTCTTAACACTTCGATCACCAGGCCGTGTCAAAAAATGTTTCCCAAAAAAACTGAACCTAAATGAATCCAAACATATCTCAAAAACGCAACTTTCTTTTAAAACACCTACAAAAAAATTTTTTTCATTATGACAACATAACCTCACAAATACTTACTTTTTAATTTAAACGTCAATTTACAAACAATATTTAAAGTAAATTTAGTTTCCATGACAACAATCCCTTCAATACCAATATAACCTGGATTTTTTGATCTGACAACTTTAATTTCAGCCCCAATTAATTCAATTTTATTTAAATTCATACAAAATTGATTAAAATCCCCTTCGTTACACCGTTTAATCTTATCCGTTCCATTTAAAGTGTTTAAAACGTATTGTTTCCACATTGAGTTCATTTCGAGTAATTTCTCGTATTTCCATCCGTCTTTAGGTAATTTTCCGAATATCTTTTTCCTTTCTTTGCATTTTAACAATTTTTTACGAACCGATTTCGGTTTTTTGCTCGTTTTATTCTTGTCTAAGTATAAATTCCAATTTAGGCCATCTTCGATGTCTTTTCGCTCACTTTCGGGGAGCTTTTCTTCGAGAAACGATTTAATTGTTTCGATTGAAGAATCTGGGATGTTTTTTAAATTCGTTTGAGGTAACGGTGTTTTTAAACACGACGATATTTTTTGACTCATTTTTGTGTTATTAAAATGTGGGGTTATGTTTGTTTTTATGACAAGATTAGAGTACGTTCATAAATTGTAATTTTAATGTTTATTTATTTTAATCGATGATTTAAATATTATTAATTAAAATTTAATTTCATTATATCATCTGTTATTGTAAAAAGATGTTTAGAATTAACTCAAATCTAATTATTAATATAATTTCGAAACAAAAACAAACTTAACCTCACTTTTTGTTAAAAAAAAAACATTTAATATAAAAAAATAATTTAATTATTTTCAAATTTCCACTCTATACTAAGTAAATTTTTATTATTTTCCTTATTTTATTTGTATTCGTATTGTAATTTATTTCACTATATTGCATATTTTTATTGAACTAAAACTAGAACTAACACTAGACCTAGAACTAGAAAATATCGGATCTATTAACGTTAAAAACTGAAAAAGTTAGGTTAGAAACTATCAAATGTCAAAATAGAATTTAATTATTTTATGATAAATGTTGAAATAACCGTAATAAGAATCAAAAACCATTTGATTTGATACCAAACATGACCTATTTAGGTTAAAAAAAGAAAAAGTTAGGTTAGAATCTGTCAAATGTCAAAATCGAATTTAATTATTTTTTGATCAAAGTTGAAATGATCGTAATAAAAATCAAAAAGCTTTTAATTTGATACCAAACATGACCTAATTAGGTTAAAAAAAGAAAAAGTTAGGTTAAGAATTCAACAAAAAAGCTGCCATTTTGTTTTTTTTGACGTAATTTCAATATTTTCGTAAATATGTCGAGTTTGGATTCATTTTAAAGGATTTTTAATTTTCTTTACGATGCAATTGGTTAAAAACGATTTTAAAAAATTAATAACAAATTTTTGTTATTAAAAATTTTTTTTTCTTATTTTTTCATTATATTCTTAATCTTCATCAAAATCTCTTTAATTTGATACCAAACACAACTAATTTCCGATAAAAATTAAAAAAGTTAGGTTAGGAATCAACAAAAAATCCGCCATTTTGTTTTATTTTGACGTAATTTTTATATTATCGTAAATAGGTCGAGTTTGGTCTCATTTTAAAGGATTCTAAATTTCCTTTACGATGCAATAGGTTAGAAGAGAAAATTTGTTAGGTTAAGAATCAACAAAGCTGTCAAACGTCAAAATATGACATTAACTGTCAAAAATATTAATTTTTAGTATCTCAAGACGGCTAAACCCGAATGATTTTAGTTCACAATGTAGCACAAGACCTAGAACTAACTAAACTCGAATGTTTCTAGGCGGCCAGCAACAACTCGAATTTTTTTCTTTAAATCTCGACACTTTTTTTGGCGATTTAATTTGAAAACACCTCTCCGTATTAAAAAACTGAGTATAAAATAATAACGGTATGTAGTTTGGTTATGTTATAGGTTATGTTTGTTTTTTTGACAAGTTAGGGTACGTTCATAAATTGCAATTTTAATATTTAAATAAATCGAATTATTATTAATTAAAATTTGATTTATTTAAATCATTTATTATTGTAAAAAGATGATTCGAATTAACTCAAATCTCCTTATTAATATAATTTAGAAACAAAAACAAACTTAACCTCACTTTTTATTAAAAAAAAAACATTTAATATAAAAAAATAATTTAATTATTTTCAAATTTCCACTTTATACTAGGTAAATTTTTATTATTTTCCTTGTTTAATCGGTATTCGTATTGCAATTTAGACCATATTCCTAAACACATCTTCAACAATCGTCCTTCGACAACAACCGCTTGTTTCGCGTTATCGTACTCTCGCTTTATAATTTGCCTCGCCATTTTATACTGTTGCCTTTGTATCAAACTCAAACTAAAATACAATCTACAACGCGCTGCAATCGTGGGGTCCCCCATTTTCACCGCTAAAAGTAGTTGGTTATAGGAGATTTTCCCAGCAACGAGGGCAAAATTTTCATAATAATCTCCTAAAGCGGAAAAGGCCCCACCCAAAGTCGATAACCATGATAAGGTGTGCTCTAATTCGGCTCTTTCGTAAACTAAAAACGATATGCGTCGATTCCTAAAACGAAAAAAATTATTTTTTTGACATAACCTAAAAAAATTTTTTTTCTTACCAATTATAATCAATTATTTGTAGTTTTGGTTCGATTAATTGAAAAATGATTCTATTCGATTTATTCCAACAAACGTCCACGTAATGTTTTCGATAATTCGGACAATATCTTAATTCCTTTAATAAATAATGAAGGCAAATTCCATCGATGTAAGCTTGAATCCTATTCTTTTTTAATTTCACTTTATTGCAACAAATAATTCCCAATAAAACCTCGGAAATGTTGTTGTATTCCCACAAACCGGCGTAATTTATCACGTATTTACCGTATTTGTACCCGTTTTGTTGGATTCTCATAAAAATCTCCATATTTTGGTGGCGTTTTAGGTTATGTTTTCGAAATGAACCTAAATAAAAACATATTAATGTTGAATCTTTTATATTTTGGTGTTTTATTACGATCTTATCTTGTGATTGATTTTTATTAATTAATTAATCAAATTTAGTTAAAAAAAAATTAAATAATTCAAAATTTGACGTTTAACTGTCAAAAAAAATATTTAATTTTTGATGGATTTTTTTTATAATTATTAAAATTTGAAATTATCACAACAAATATACAATTTATTTCAATCAAAACTTTCTTACATACATTTTACACTCGTTTAATATCTTTATAATTTAAATTAAATTGATTTTATTACACTTTATTGTTTCAAAATTGAATTATAAGATATTAAATTAATTATTCACCCTATACATATATTCATTTTAACTCTATACATGTATCAATACATTTTATTTAATTATTTTGTATGTGTGTATGTAGATCCTTGGAACACTGAAGCTTACAAAAATAATATTAATTATAAACTATAATTAATAATTATTACATGGTACAAACGACTACAATACGCTACATTTCTTTTTATATTTCGTCTAGGTTCACATTACTTTTCTTTTATGCTTTTTGTACAATATGTACATACAAAATTAAAGGAATTGAGGTTATGTAGTTCCAAAAAATCGTTTTTTTATGTTTTTGAGCAGTTTAAATTTAAAGCTAAACAAATTTTAACTGGCAAGATCAACATAAAGTAACCTCAATGTTCTTAAAACCCTTCTTTACATTTTTTTTAAATTTTATTTCATTTTAACTAATTACTTTGTTTTAAACAGAGGGCTAACAGCACTTCTTTTTACCCTTATTAGTGCTCCTCCTTAAATTAACAGTATCATTATCTGTTACATTTTGTCGCTCGATTTTCTCCCTTTTTGACGCCAACACCAACTTTGTAACACTAATGAACATCTCTTCAACATTTATGTTATCTTTGGCTGATGTTTCAAACAGTTGGATACCCATAGTGCTTGCAAATCTTTGCGCATCTTCTGTTAAAACCACTTTTCTATCAGGACAATCATTTTTATTACCAACTAAAAATTAAAAAAATCATTAAAACACACAATTTAAACAAAATTTTATGTTTTTACCTAGTACTTTATTAACGACATCGCAATTTTGTTCGATTTCTAACAACCACCTTTTTACATTAGCAAAAGATTCCCCATTCGTAACATCATAAACTACAATAACACCATGTGTACCTCGATAATATCTAAAACGTTAATTATAACACAAATTTTGGTTCAAATTGAGTTACTTACGTGCTCGTTATTGTTCTAAATCGCTCCTGACCCGCGGTGTCCCAAATTTGCAATTTAATCCTCTGTCCATCGATATTAACAGTTCTTATTTTAAAATCGACCCCAATAGTCGTTATGTAACTCCCCGAGAATGTATTATCGGCGAATCTTAATAACAACGAACTTTTCCCGACGCCTAAAACAGGAAAAACCGCTAAAATTTCCCTCTTAAGTGGAAATCTAACCCCACCCACATACCACTATCGCCGATTATGAGTAATTTGAAGAGATGGTCGTAGTCCCTGGCCATTTCTCGGGACTATAAAGATAGTTTGAGGTTACCTTAAACGATTCATTCAAGAATTATTACTTATTCGGCGACTTTCGAGGTTTTTTTATCGATAAAAGTTAACTTTAAGACATGACAGTTGACGTTTCGGTGTAAACGACGTTTTTAACTGCAGGGGTACCAACGTGATTTTTTTAACCCAAATTAATTTTAGTTTTGACCCAAACTAATTTTTTTAAAATTTATTAATTAATTTATTTTTGCAACATAATCAATTATAAAGTCACAAAATTATTTTCAACAATTAAATCAATCTTTTAAAAAAAAACCTAAAAATAATAAAATCCCCTAAAACCATCAACAACGCATGCGCACTTCGATCCGTTTCCGCTAAAGCTACAGCGCCAAGAACACCATCAACTTTTAATTTGGTGAAAGTACCAATTTGTACCAAATTTTGACCATATCTCGAGGTAAAATCGATTCGGATTCATCGTAGATATCAAATTCGGCGATAAACATGCCCACCACCACCATTTTCACCCCAAAAAGAACCAGTTAAAACCGCACTTTCATTCCCAACCGCATTTTCTTCACATAATTTCGCCCCAACGACCATGTCTACCATCGTTTACGATCTGGACACCTCCGGGGGACTTATGGAGGTAATTACAATAATTATTAATAAATAAATCTCGTTAATCTAATCTGTGTTATGTAGCAAATTCAAAAATTAATCGCTCCCCCGGACGCCGAAGACTCCAAAGAGGCGAAAACCGAGCATCCGTACTTTAAAAGACCAGGAAGGGGGCACAACCACGATAGTTGCGATGCTTGCAGCGAAGGCGGGGAATTAATTTGTTGCGATAAATGCCCATCGAGCTTTCATTTACAATGTCAGTAAGTGAATTTGTATTATAAATCATTTTTAATCATAAAATCACTTTTTTTTTATCATTAATTTAATTTTTAATATTAAAATGTCACTTTGACATTTAAAATGTCATTTTTAATTTAGAACATAACCTCAATTTTTTTAATTTTTATTATTTTTATTTAGTGATCCCCCTTTGGATGTATCTGATATCCCAACTGGTCAATGGCTTTGTCAAAGTTGTCGCTACAAAATCGATCGGCCCCCGCAACCGAGAAAACGATCTTTGTCGTCGTCCTCCGGAGGTTCGACGTCCGCGCCGAAAGCGAAAAAGCAAAAAACTAACATGGAAATTCTTATCGATGCTGCAAAAGCGGTTAATCCGAAACAATTTGAGCTGCCACGAAATCTTTTGGAGCCGTGTATTTTTCCAGGGACTGATAAAGGTTTGAGATAAATCTTTTTTTGAAATTATTTCTATTTATAATGTGATGTGGAAAGCAAAAAGGAACCGGTTGTCTAAAAAATTCAAATTTGAGTTATTATTTGAATATTTTTACACCAAAACAAAGTTGATATCTTAAAAAATGTCGTAGTTATGACTTTTTCTTTAATTACTTCAGGAATAGAATGTCTTTTAATTCTTCAACTTGACAGATTAATAATTATTTCGTTCTTAAATTTCTTTTTTCGTATGATTTAAATAAATTAATTAATTTTCGTAAAAAAAAACGTTTCATAAAATTGACATTTAATTTTGACAAATTGATGTGAAGTTGGTTACAGTTGGTAACATTGAATTTGTGTCACATTGACGTTTAAACTTTATTTAAAATTTGGGATAATTCTAAAAAACTGGTATCCATGGATACTAGTTTTGCATAATTAATTTCCTTTGTTGTATTCAATTAACTGAAAATAGTAAAGATTTAAAATCCTTAAAAAAATTAAGTTTACTACAAACTGAAACGCGCAATCAATCAGTTCTTAGATTGTACATTGTTCTGGATTTTCTTTTCCTTGAAGTTGTCTATTATATGATAACTAACTTCAGGTGTAAAATGTCAACCTCAATTTTAACATATAGTTCATTTTTTTTTTCTATAATAACTGTCAAATTGTTGTAAAGTTGGCAAAATTAACCGGGAGTTTTGTAAAATTAAATTTACATTGACAAGTATTATAAGAAAAAATAATAAATTTAAAATGAGCCCAAACATGATACGTTTAATTCCAATATTACTCGAGATATAAGCAACTTCCGGTTTAAAATGTCAATGTCATTTTGATATATTCTTAATTTTTTTCAAATGTCTTAAAATTTGCCACAAAAATATAATAAAAAAACAGAAATTGAGGTTGGTATTAATATTTAAAAATTAAGTTGCTAACTTCGGATTTAATGTTTTTTTATTCTAACTTTTTTGTTTTTTGAGATAAGTGCGTCATGTTTGGACTCATTTTAAAGGTTATTTTATAAGGATTTCGAATATAATAATAAAATTAAAGTTGACATTAACACCTGAAAGTTTTATGTTATAGTCAACTTCCGGTTAGAAATGTCAACCTCAATTTTGACATATTTGTAATCGTCGTGAAGAATCCTTTAAAATGAGCCCAAACATGATATGTTTAAATTCAATATTACTCGAGATATAAACAACTTCCGGTTTGAAATGTCAATGTCATTTTGATAAATACAAACAAATTGATGGACATTTTTTTTAAATATGTTGGGATTAGGTGTTAGTTTAAATTTTCCTTCTTAAATACAAAATATTTTTTTAAAAAATTTCAAAAAAATGTAAAAATTAAAATAAAATCCTTAAAAATTTTTGGAAATTAACTTACTTTATTCTCTTTTTTATTTTTTGATATAAATGCATCATATTTGCGCACATTTTAAAGGTTTTTTAATAAAGAATACGTTATGAAAGAACACCATGAAGTTATCCATTTGTCTACTATATGGTAACTAACTTCAGGTGTGAAATGTCAACCTCAATTTTGACATATTTGTAATCTTCATTAAAAATCCTTTAAAATGAGTACAAACACGACATATTTATCTTCAATATTAATGAAGTTATGGTCAACTTCCGGTTAAGAATGTCAACGTCAATTTTGACATATTTGTAATCGCCGTGAAAAATCCTTTAAAATGAGCCCAAACATGATACGTTTAATTCCAATATTACTCGAGATATTAGGAACTTCCGGTTTAAAATGTCAATGTCATTTTGATAAATTCTTAATTTTATAAAATGTCTTAAAATTTGTCACAAAAACAAAAATATGATAAAAAAAAAAAAACAGAAATTAAGGTTGGTATTAATATTTAAAAATTAAGTTGCTAACTTCGGATTTAATGTTTTTTTATTCTAACTTTTTTGTTTTTTGAGATAAGTGCGTCATGTTTGGGCTCATTTTAAAGGTTATTTTATAAGGATTTCGAATATAATAATAAAATTAAATTTGACATTAACACCTGAAAGTTTTATGTTATTTTCAAGTTCCGGTTAGAAATGTCAACCTCAATTTTGACATATTTGTAGTCGTCGTGAAAAATACTTTAAAATGAGCCCAAACATGTTACGTTTAATTCCAATATTACTCGAGATTTAAGCAACTTCCGGTTTGAAATGTCAATGTCATTTTGATATATTCTTAATTTTTTTAAAATGTCTTAAAATTTGTCATAAAAACAAAAATATAATAAAAAAAAACTAAAATTAAGGTTGGTATTAATATTTAAAAATTAAGTTGCCAACTTCGGATTTAATGTTTTTTTATTCTAACTTTTTTGTTTTTTGAGATAAGTGCGTCATGTTTGGACTCATTTTAAAGGTTATTTTACAAGGATTTCGAATATAATAATAAAATTAAAGTTGACATTAACACCGGAAAGTTTTTTTTCAAATTGGAATGCAATATTTGTGATTAAAATTTTTCCACGATATAGAGAAACGCTCGTACTTTTTGTCAGTAAATGAAGTAACATTCTTATCAATTTTGTTCGACTTTAGCTTTTAAAAGAAGAATCCTATTATAATAATCGATTAAGAACTCAAAATCGATATTTTCGACCTAATCCGACAACTGGTCCCTTTTTGCTTTCCGCATCACATATTTAATTTTATTTTTGTAGTGATTAATCCGTATAGTAAAGTTGGAAATCGAAGGAATAACCCAAAAGTGCATAAACAACTCGATCGTTTAAACGGAGGTTTAATTCCACTACCAGCGAAAAAGTGTTATTCCTGCAGGAAATCGTGCCGGGTTGCCCCATTATTATCCTGCGATTATTGCACGTTATGTTTTCATCTGGATTGTTTGGATCCTCCACTTACAAGCTTACCCACAGGGAGATGGATGTGTCCAAATCATTTCCAACATTTCGTGGTAAAATTTTTTGTAATAAAATCAATTTTTAATCAATCAAAACAATTTTTAGGACTCAAATTTATTAACAACAATCTCCGCAACCGAACGTAACCGTTTATGGGACTTATACAACGGCCCCGTCGATCAAGATGCAATAAAAGTGGAATTTTTTCGAAAAATCCACAGCAAAAACCCCCCATTTCGATTCAAAATAAAACTCCCCCGCCGCGAACGCGCCACAATCCCCCAAATGGTTAAATACCATTACTCAAAACCTGTTCAACTCCTACCCAGCCTCAGAGACGTTCTTCGATTAAACACAGTTCTCCATCGAGAAGAAACGGATTATTACGAAAATATCGAAAATCTTATTGAAATGGACACCGCTAGTGATGATTCAACTACGATAACATCCGGGGAACCCACCACGGTTGAAACAAAACCGTTAGAGATGATTAAATCGGAAGATATCGCCAAAGACGATGAGGAAAGTTGCAAATTAAACGGGATTTTTGAGTTAAACGGGGAAGGGGTGGGATTTTTAAATTCGGCGTTGAAAGATCGTGATAAAAAAACAAGTTTTGGAGCTTTTAGGAGGGTTAAAATCAAACAGAAACGAAGCGTGTACGAGAATAATAACGCTGAAATGGATGATGGTAAAGAGTGCAAGAAGGAGAGCGTGGAGAAACTTGAAAATGGAACCGGGGTGAAAATCGAATTCGAAATGGGGCCCAATGGGGTTATTAATAATGGAATGTTAAACTGTGATAATAGAAATGATTTTTTCAATGGTTGTTTTGGAGATACGATGGATATTAGTTACGAAGGTAAGAAATTTTTTATTTTTTATAGTTGGTAGTACTTTTTAATGTAATTAAAACGTCAAAGACGTCAATTTGAAACGAATTTTTTTAAGGAAAATCGGTGAGTTTTTTTTTAATATTGTTTAAACAAATTAAGAAACATAGGTTTTAAAGTTAAAACAATCGTTGTGAACAACTTCCGTCTCATTTTTTTCTTTAAAACTTATAAAATTAAAAAGAAACGTATTTGGAGGTTATGTTGACGTTATTTTTTTAAATTCTCATTTATTTATTTTTTTTTAATTATAATTTAATCAAATTAGTTTTTAATAACTAAATTATGAAGTGGCGAATCATCCGAAACGAAATTTTTCATTAATTTAATAAAAATAAATTTTGATGAGTTAATATTTTTGACATTTTGAGGTTGGTATTAATTTTGAAATGACGTTTCAAATAAAACTGTCATTTCTAACCTACAAAATTTTATTAAAATTATACTCTATTTTTAGGAATTATTATTATTACTTATTGTTTTCAAATTGTACTCATTTTTTTTCTCTATTATCGGAGAAGTAAAATGAAAAGTCACGTTTACACAGTGTAATTTTTCAAAGTTATTTTTTGCCTGCCCTTGAAGCTACAAACATTTAATTGTCAAGTTGACATTTCACCAAAATCAATTCGTGTAAGGTCTATTATTAATGACGTTTAATTTTGTTCACATTGATATTTAATTGACAATTTGAGATAAATCATCATCTCCGATTTACNTTTTTTGCCTGCCCTTGAAGTTACAAACATTTAATTGTCAAGTTGACATTTCACCAAAATCAATTCGTGTAAGGTCTATTATTAATGACGTTTAATTTTGTTCACATTGATATTTAATTGACAATTTGAGATAAATCATCATCTCCGATTTACGTTTTTCTTCAAAGATGTGTTACTATCTAATTTGTTATAAAAAATTAAAAATTAATTACGTCACTTTGATGTCAGTTACTTTTTGACGTTTAATTATCAAGTTGACATTTCGCCCAAATCGATTTGTGTAAGGTCTGTTATTGACGTTGAATTTGGTTAACATTGATATTTAATTGACAATTTGAGATAAATCATCATCTACGATTTACATGAGATATAAGTAACTTCCGGTTTGAAATGTCATTTTCTTAATTTTTATAAAATGTTTTAAAATTGATCACAAAAACAAAAATATAATAAAAAAAAATCTATTAACGTTAAAAACTGGAAAAGTTAGGTTAGAAACTGTCAAATGTCAAAATCGAATTTAATTATTTTATGATAAATGTTGAAATAACCGTAATAAGACATGAAATGAAAAAGTTAGGTTAGAATCTGTCAAATGTCAAAAATTAGCGTGAATATGTCGAGTTTGGTCTCATTTTAAAGGATTTTAAATTTTCTTTACGATGCATTAGGTTAGGTTAAGAATCAACAAAGCTGTCAAACGTCAAAATTTGACATTAACTGTCAAAAATATTAATTTTTAGTATCTCAAGACGACCAAACCCGTATGATTCTGGTTCTGTATGACTCAAAAAATAAAAACTGTGGAGAAGAATCATCATAAAAACATAACCTATAATCAATTACATAACTTAACTATGACCATTACCAATCTAACAGGTTTATTACTATGTTGTATATTTTTATTGAACTAAAACTAGAACTAACACTAGACCTAGAACTAGCATAAAAAAAAACTTTCAGGTGTTAATGTCAAATTTAATTTTATTATTATATTCTTAATCTTCATAAAATAACCTTTAAAATGAGTCCAAACATGACGCACTTATCTCAAAAAACAAAAAAGTTAGAATAAAAAACATTAAACCCGAAGTTAGCAACAATGAAGATAGCAATTTAATTTTTAAATATTAATACCAACCTTAATTTCTGCTTTTTTTTATTATATTTTTATTTTTGTGACAAATTTTAAGACATTTTATAAAATTTAGAATATATCAAAATGACATTGACATTTCAAACCGGAAGTTCCTTATATCTCGAGTAATATTGGAATTAAAGGTATCATGTTTGGGCTCATTTTAAAAGATTTTTCACGACGATTATAAATATGTCAAAATTGAGGTTGACATTTGTAACCGGAAGTTGACCATAACTTCATTAATATTGAAGATACATATGTCGTGTTTGTACTCATTTTAAAGCATTTTTAATAAAGATTGCAAATATGTCAAAATTGAGGTTGACATTTTGCACCTGAAGTTAGTTATTAAAAATACTTTCAGGTGTTAATGTCAACTTTAATTTGATTATTATATTCGTAATCTATATAAAATAACCTTTAAAATGAGTACAAACATGACGCACTTATCTCAAAAAACAAAAAAGTTAGAATAAAAAACATTAAACCCGAAGTTAGCAACAATGAAGATAGCAATTTAATTTTTAAATATTAATACCAACCTTAATTTTTTATTTTTTTTATTATATTTTTGTTTTTGTGACAAATTTTAAGACATTTTATAAAAATTAAGAATATATCAAAATGACATTGACATTTCAAACCGGAAGTTGCTTATATCTCGAGTAATATTGGAATTAAACGTATCATGTTTGGGCTCATTTTAAAGGATTTTTCCCGACGATTACAAATATGTCAAAATTGAGGTTGACATTTCTAACCGGAAGTTGACCATAACTTCATTAATATTGAAGATAAATATGTCGTGTTTGTACTCGTTTTAAAGGATTTTTAATGACGATTACAAATATGTCAAAATTGAGGTTGACTTTTTATACCTGAAGTTAGTTATTATACAGGGTGAGTTATTAGTATCCCGGCGGGCGTTAGTTACTAAACCGTTTGAAAAACAAAAAGATACTTTATACATAAGTTGTTTAACTCATCACTTTCTATTACGTAAAATTATTTTCACTTCTACAGGGTGTTCCATTTAAGCGTAACGGAGAGTACGTAAATTTGTTTAAATAGAATATATTATGAATACAACTAAATTTGTTTATACAACCGTATATGTTACTATTTCACAAAAGCTAGTAGGTAGATGATAGTATCCAAAGATATTAGATACGCTATACAGCGTGTTCATAAAGCTTAGTTACTTTTGATGTTTTTCAAATCCCTTTTTCTTAAGTTTTTTAAATGGAACATCCTGTATATTGTATGCTAATTGAATTGCTCATAAAGTTCCTTTTAATTAATGATGAGTATGTCGTATATCTAACTTTAATAGTTTTCCTGATATTTAGAATTTAAAGAAAAATGTGTAATAAAATGTCATTATTGTACTTAAAAAGGTGACAGAATGTAATATATAATTTAATATATTTATCTGTCATTTGAAAATTAGTAATATTATATTAAAATACAACTTAAAAAAAAACTTTAATAAATAAATAATCAAAACGTGATAGAAATACAAAAAATACAATTTTTAATTACTAAATTATTTAAAGGAAATGTAGCAACAAACTATAAACAATTACTAAACGTTGCTCAACAAGTAGGTATTAATTTAATTAATATTTAGAAGTTATTCAAAATGCCGCCCATTTTCTCTTCTACAGGCATTAATGCGCTGTATAAAAGATTTTAATTTATCTCTTAACATGTGCATCTTATTTTCTCTAAAGTCATAAATTATATGGCAGAACAATTGCATATTTTATTACTTACACCATTTTAAATCTCATAAAGTTCCAAGTCGCATTAAAATTTAATTAAACTTGATGGGCAATTCAACCAGCACACAATATACAGTGTGTTCCATTTAAAAAACATGAAAAGTAACTAAGCTTTATGAACACGCTGTATAGCTAGGACAACTTCATGGTGGTCTTTCCTGATGTATTCCTTATTATTTATCTTAAAAAATAAACTTTTTAATTCTAGTATTAGTTTTAGTTTTACACTAACACTTTTTTTTTGTTCTAGTTGAAAGAGATTTAAAACAACTCGACACTCGTCTTCTCAAGCTTTTAGCGTTCCAGCGAATTCAACAGCTTCTCAGCGCTCAAAACTCAGACGCAACATCCCCGAACCACCATCACCTACCATTTCTTTCACCTTCGCTGCAAGCAAAACTTCGCCATATGCCATTACCCAGTGAACTTTTGACACCGGCCGATATCGATCGAATTTCGCGAGTTTTTTCCTCGCCGAAACGTCGAAACAAACCCCGTTCGAACCTGCGAGCTCGCGCCATGCTCTGCCCCGTTATCTCAAAATATTTTTATAACGTCCGAACTTCCGATGTTGATTCAGTCGATGTTCGACATGATGCTAGCTTTATGGGTTTCCGACCAACCGTGTCCGCTCGTTTTCCTGAAGCGACAGCGATGCGTTATCGAAGTATTAATATAGGCCGAGGTTCCGCCAATGATTTAGAATTGGACCGTTATGGACATTGCAATTATGTTTCACCGAAACACGCGGTGATTTTTTTTGATGAACACACGAAAAGTTACGAGTTGATGAATTATTCGTGTTATGGTAGTTATGTAAATAACGTTTTGTATTCGAATAATGTAACAGACAGGCCTCATCAAATTAAAACCGCTTCATCGGCGTCTACGCCCCAAGAGAATCACAACCGTTCTCCGGAATTAGATAAGCAAGTTCGCGAAATTGTCGATAAAAGAAGAAAAATTAATCGACCGAGAAAAAGTTCGACCGACACTAAAATGATTGCGATTGAATGTTTAGATCGGATGGAATGTTCTTGTGATGGGACCGGTTTTGATGAAGTCGTTAAAGGGGGCTGGGAGGGTCCAGCCATTTTAAATCATGGATCGTTATTGAGATTTGGTTGTGTTTCGTTTGTGTTTTCGATTGTGGATTGTGCTACGATGTAAATTATTAACTATTTTGATGGAGAGACAATGGAGGAGTTGGAATTGAACGTTAAATAGGTTAGTTATTTTTTTTTTGTCTTCAAATTGATAAATTATTTAATTCGAGTTTTTAAGCCCTTAAAATTAAAGGCTTTTTGTATATTTTAACTGTGCTTTAATCGAAAACCTTTTTATCCTCGATGAGATGGGTAAAACATAACCTAAAAATTTTGTGTCAAATGTCAAAATGATTAAGATTTAGAATTTCACTAAATTATTTATTTAAAAACTTTAAACAAAGTTGTAATGATTACTTGGTTAACATTTGGTTGTGTTTTAATTTTTAAAATAATCTGGGTTATTTCATTATATTAATTTTCACGTTAAAAATTAATTTATTCTTATTTAATACAAAAAAAATCTCAATAGATGGCGCCAACGTTTTCTACGTTACCGACCACTTAAATTAAAATTTGACAGTTTCGTTTTAACCTCAAAAATTAATTAAATAGGTCAGCTTTTAGTTTCACTAAATTATTTATTTAAAAACTTTAAACAAAGTTGTAATAATAACTTGGTTAACATTCGGTTGTGTTTTCGATTGTGCTACGATCTAAATTATAAACTATTTTGATGGAGAAAAAACGGAGGAGTTGGAATTGATCGTTAAATAGGTTAGTTTTTTTTTCTTAAAATTGACAAATTATTTAATTCGATTTTTTAAGCTCTTAATTAAAGGCTTTTTGTATGTTTTAATTATGCTTTAATCGAAAACTTCTTTATCCTGGATGAAATGGGTGAAACATAAACTAAAAATTTTATGTCAAATGTCAAAATCATTTTGATGTAGAATTTTACTAAATTATTTATTTAAAAACTTTAAACAAAGTTGTAATGATAACTTGGTTAACATTTGGTTGTGTTTTAATTTTTAAAATAATCTGGGTTATTTCATTATATTAATTTTCACGTTAAAAATTAATTTATTCTTATTTAATACAAAAAAATCTCAATAGATGGCGCCAACGTTTTCTACGTTACCGACCACTTAAATTAAAATTTGACAGTTTCGTTTTAACCTCAAAAATTAATTAAATAGGTTAGTTTTTAGTTTCACTAAATTATTTATTTAAAAACTTTAAACAAAGTTGTAATAATAACTTGGTTAACATTCGGTTGTGTTTTCGATTGTGCTACGATCTAAATTATAAACAATTTTGATGGAGAGAAAACGGAGGAGTTGGAATTGATCGTTAAATAGGTTAGTTTTTTTGTTCTACTTAAAATTGATAAATTATTTAATTCGAGTCTTTAATCCCTTACAACTAAAGATTTTTCGGTGTCCGAATAGGCTAACTCAGAAATTATAAGAGTTAGAAAAAAAGTATCTTAGAAAAATAACCTTTTTTTAGTGTCGTCCTAGAAAAAATTAAATTTACAGTTTCCTGTAAATTAAATAAAATTAAAAATTAATTAAATAACTTAATTAAACTAACAATTTTATTATTAATAGTGGAAATGATGAGAGACAGCAATAACAATTATTACCAGTATCATTCTTTTAGTTTAAAAAGTATAGACATAGATTCCAATTCGTGTTATATTTTTAAATTTGCCGCTGAAGGTTGTTCAGAATGACAGATGAAAACGTCATTTTAAAGTGATTTTTTGGTAAGAGTATAATAAAGTAATAATAGTATGATTAAATAACTAGATTATAATTGATATTATAGCTTTGTTTCAGCTAACAGTTATTCTGTGGTTGGAGCTTTTATATTTAAACCAAATCCAACTTGTATTCTAGTGGTTCGGTTCTTAGCTAAATAATTCCAAAATATCCCCAACAGATGGCGCCACATGCATTCAATTTTTAGTAAAATTTTGTGTCAAATGTCAAAATCATTTAGATTTAGAATTTCATTAAATTATTTATTTAAAAACTCTAAACAAAGTTGTAATAATGACTTAGTTAACATTTGGTTGTGTTTTCGATTGTGCTATGATTTAAATTATAAACTATTTTGATGGAGAGAAAACGGAGGAGTTGGAATTGATCGATAAATAGGTTAGTTTTTTGTCTTAAAATTGATTATTTAATTCGAGTTTGTATAATTTATTTGTACTTTAATCGAAAACCTCTTTATTCTGGATGAAATGGGTAATTCATAACCTAGTAATTTCGTTATAACCTCACTTTTTCCACAATGACATTTCGGTACAAAAATAACACAAAATATTATTGATGATTTAATTTAATCAAAAATAATCCTTTTTTATTCATTAAAATTTTTATAATTTTTAAAATAATCTGGGTTATTTCATAATAATATTAATCTTTACGTTAAAAATTAATTTATTTTTAATCAATACAAAAAAAATATCAATAGATGGCGTCAATTTTTTCTACGTTACCGACCACTTAAAATTGAAATGTGACAGTTTCGTTTTAACCTCATAAAATGGAAAAATTAATCGCTTGATTATCAATACATGAATTAATTTTTATATAATCCAAGTGATTTCTCATCGATCCAATAATTCCTGATTTATAATCGCATTTCTAATTCGCAATCCTAATTCTTCCAAAGTGTTTAGTTTTTTTGACAAATAAAAAAAAATTATATTTTTGAGGTTGCGTAAACTTATTTTTGTATTTATACCGTTAATAACACGTGTTAAAATATACAAGATACAACGTGCATCAAGACCGTACGAATAATTTAAGGTAATTTCGTTATAACCTCACTTTTTCTACATTGACATTTCGATACAAAAATGACACAAAATATTGTTGGTTATTTAATTTAACCAAAAAATTTTTATAATTTTTAAAATAATCTAGGTTATTTTATTTTTTTAGGTTACATTATGTTAATTTCACGTTAAAAATTAATTTATTCTTATTTAAAACAAAAAAAAAATCTTAATAGATGGCGCCAACGTTTTCTACGTTACCCAAGGATGGTAAACTATAAAGGATTGCTTAATGCGCGAGATCCGTCGGCCGGGGTCACGTGACGCGGTGACGTAGGCTAGCGACCAACCTGTACAAAGCTAGAAATAATTGTGGACCGACGCGGTGTTATAAATCCAAATTTATATACTTTTTTCTTTATGTACTTTTTTTAGGTAATTATTTCTCATAGTGGAAAGTTGAAAANTATTAGGGTTCCACTTGTCTGCTCTTCTACATCGTCGTATCCATTCATCTCTTACAGGTTTAGCAGCTAAATCCGTTTTTTTGGGAAAACTATGATAAATTACGTTTTCACCTCTGGATTTGGTCACAACAAGGCTGTTATTGCACCCAAACACTCCACATCTGCAACCTGGCATATTTTTGATAATCGGATACGTTTTACCTATAAATTACAGACTCATAAATTTATAAAGCACATAATTATTGTGGCTGACATACCAAATTTATGATAAAAGTTGTACAGCACAGTTATAGTCTTTAAATTATAGTCACTGAATTTAAAATAAAAGCACAATGTAATTAACTTTAAACAGCAGCAAAAGTATTCAAAAGTACACAGCTTTACAGGGCTCTAAAGTCTAAATGCAAGATGTCAGCAGGCAGGTCGCTTGCCTACGTCACTGCGTCCAGATTAAGTGGAGGGGGCGCGCTAACATTGCGGTATAGGGAATGAGCTATCCTTTTAGAATCTACTATCCTTGTACGTTACCGACCACTTAAATTAAAATTTGACAGTTTCGTTTTAACCTCAAAAATTAATTAAATAGGTAAGTTTTTTTTCTTCTTAAAATTGATATTTTTTTTAGCTCGAGTCTTTAAGCCGTTAAAATTAAAGTCTTTTCGTATATTTTAACAATGCTTTAATCAAAAACCTCTTTATCCTGGATGAAACGGGTAAAATAACCTAAAAATTTTGTGTCAAAAGTCAAAATAATTTATTTAAATAATTTACAATTTCACTAAATTATTTATTTAAAAATTCTAAACAAAGTTGTAAAAATTCGGTTGGTTTTTCGCTATGAACCCAATGTCCAGCTCCTTCAATGTAATAAAATTCAGCATTGGGAAATAATTTCAAAATTTGCGGATGATCACTTTTTCTAAAACCCAAAAAAAAATTACAAGCAATTAAAAATAACATTGAACCGTTTAATCGTACCGTATAAAATCGGAAGCAGTTCCCCCAATAAATAAAACGGGACCTTGAAACGTACTGTTTAAGACTTCCGGAAACATGGCAATTTCATTAAAATTCGCCATTAAAGCGTCCAAATTCATTCTCCATTTAAAGCTGAAACTTAAAACATTAAAAAGTATTAAATTAATTAAAATATTTACCTTCCATCTCCTTTTTGTACTAAATTTGTTAATAAAAATGATCTCATTCCTTTATTATTAACTACTTTAAGTAATTGTTGATCAGCTGTTACTCGAGCACTTGAAATTGGGACATTAACCGGTAATTTAACTTTACTTAAAGCATCAAATAAAGAAGGCATCGTTTTTAAATTGGGGCTAGTTCTAACTGGTGATATATCGGCTACGATTAATTTATCAACCAATTTTGGCTATAAAAAACATTATTAAAATAATTTTTTATGATTTACCAACTTACATAAGTTAATGCGAACAACATCATAGTCCTTCCACCCATGGAATGCCCCAACAACGAAGCTTTCCCAATTTTTAACGTTTGTAATAACTTCCGAACATCTTGTGTAAGATGCTCGTAAGTATGTTCGGGGCTATGGGGGCTATCACCGTGATTTCGAGCATCCACCGCAACCACTTTACGTTGTGGGGACGTTTTCTTATGGATTATCTTACATAAACTGTTCCAATTTCCTTTCGATCCTAACAAACCATGCATTATTACGAGAGGCGGTGGTCCATAACCAAGATTCGTCGATTCGTATGAAGCGTAAGCCAAATCGACCGGTTGTATCTTCGAAACACCCGTTATTGGTGATTTGGTGCTTTGTGAGATTAAACGTCGCGAAATTAGGTTGATTTTCTTCATTTTTTTCGAGATTTTGAGGTTACGATTGCTTGAAAATAAATTAACTTGTGATTTTATTAGGTGTTTAGATTAATTTTGATGGGGTATTTGTCTAAATTGGGTGGAAATTGACGGAAATATGAGATTTAAAATTTTTTTTTTTTGAATGACTTTTTAGGTTATGTTTACATAATTGACAGTTCTAAAATTGTCTGTGATAGGTGTCGCCATCTCGTTTTTGTTTTTAAATTAATATTAATTAAATGTTTTTATAGTTGTTATTAATTTATAAATTTAATTATTGCGATAAAATCGTCGAATATTTAACAAATATTATTAGGTTAAGTTGAGAGTATAATTAATTAATTTAGGATAATTGGGGTTATGTGTACAAATGATTGTTTGTAGCTGGTGTCGCCATCTCTTGATACGTTTTTGTTTTTTTAGTAAATTAATATTAATTAAATGTGTTTATAGTTATTATTAATTTATAAATTTTATTATTGCGATAAAATCGTCGAATATTCAACAAATATTATTAGGGTAAAAGAGCAAATTAAGAAAATAATTAGGATAATTGAGGGTTCTCCCAAAACCTGGCCAGATAGACAACCACACACACAGGTAATTGAGGTTATGTGCATAACTGTCAAATCTGAGACTTGCAAAAATAATTTAATGGTAATAAAATGGATTTATTAGCGAAATTAAATGCAGAAATGGGTGAAAATAAAAATAAGATCTTTATCGAGAAACCCCACTTCGTTATTTAGGTTATTCAAATGAAATTGGAGAAGCTTTTCGAACAACAATTGGTTCAAAATGGGTTGTTGTAACTAATGGTGTAACTACAATGTATGTTTTGGCGGATAGAATAGATAAATCACGTAAAAGTTATATGGTAAAACCTTCATTGTGATAATTTTATCAAATAGAAAAAAATTAAAAAATGAATCAGATGAAAAAAAAACTTTATTTACAAGTATAGATTGTTTTATATGGCAAATGTTGGATTTCTGTAGCTATTCCTGGTCATACAATTAATAGGAAGTTGTGTTTTGGGTGTGGATCTTCATTTTTTGGAGATTTTAAGGTTACGATTTTTTTTTATTAAGACTGGTTAAAAATAAATTAACTAGAAATGTTTAGATTAATTGTAATGGTAATTTTGATGGTGCATTTGTCGAAATTGAGTATAAATTGATTCAAATGAGATTTAAACAAATTTTTTTTAATGACTGGGTTATGTTTACATTTTTGACAGTTCTGAAATTGTTTGTAACAAGTGTCGCCATCTCTTGATACGTTTTTGTTTTTCGTAAATTAATATTAATTAAATGTTTTTTTTAATTATTATTAATTTATAAATTTAATTATTGCGATAAAATCATCGAATATTTAACAAATATTAGGTTAAAAAAGTCAAGTTGAGAGTATAATTAATTAATTTAGGATAATTGAGGTTTTCGAACTCCCAAAACCTGGCCAGATATGCAACCACGCACACACGTAATTGAGGTTATGTTAATAACTGTCAAATTAGAGTCCTGCAAAAATAATTTAATCGTTATAAAATGGATTTATCAGCGAAATTAAATGCAGAAATGAGTGAAAATAAACAAAAAGGTCTTTATCGGGAAGCCCTACTTCGTTATTTAGGTTATTCAAATGAAATTAGAGGAGCTTTTTGAACGATTAGCTTGAAATGGGTAGCTACAACTTAGGGTGTACCTAAAATGTATGTTTTGGAGGATACAATAGATAAATCAAGTAAAAGTTATATGGCAAAACCTTCATTGGGATAATTTTATCAAATAGAAAAAAATTAAGTAATGTTTAGGTTAACGATGCACTTCTGGATTAGATGAAAAAAACTTTATTTATAAGTATAGATTGTTTATATGGCAAATATTGGCTTCTGTAGCTATTCCTGGTTATACAATTAATAGGGTGTGTTTTGGATCATCATTTTGAGGTTACGATTTCTTTTATTACACTGCTTAAAAATAAATTAACTTACAATTCTATGGGGTGTTTAAATTAATTTTGATGTTGTATTTGTTACAATTGAGTGTAAATTAACGAAAATGATGAGATTTAAAAAAATCTTTTTCAATGACTTTTTAGGTTATGTTTACAATTTACATAATTGACAGTTCTAAAATTGTTTGTGACATGTGTCGCCATCTCTTGATACGTTTTTGTTTTTCGTAAATTATTAATTTTATTATAAATTAAATGTTTTTATAATCGTTATTAATTTATAAACTAAATGATTGCGATAAAATCATGGATGAATATTTAAGAAATATTATTATGGTGCAAAAAGTAAGTTAATTAGGATAATTGAGGTTATGTATACAACTGTCAAATCTAAAACTTGCAAAAATAATTTTATCGTTATAAAATGGATTTATCAGCGAAATTAAATGCAGAAATGGGTGAAAATAAGGAAAAAGATCTTTATCGGGAAACTCCAATTCGTTATTTAGGTTATGCAAATGAAATTGGAGAAGCTTTTCGAACAACGATTGGCTCGAGATGGGTTGCTGCAACTTATGGTGTAGCTACAATGTATGTTTTGGCGGATACAATAGATAAAACGCGTAAAAGTTATATGGTAAAACCTTCATTGGGATAATTTTATCAAATAAAAAAAAATTAAGTAATGTTTAGGTTAACGATGGACATCCGGATCAGATGAAAAAAACTTTATTTGCAAGTATAGATTGTTTTATTTGGCAAATGTTGGCTTCTGTAGCTATTCCTGGTTATACAATTAATAGGGTGTGTTTTGGGTGTGGATCTTTATTGAAGAAAATGAGCAAATTTGGGCCAAAACAACAAAAAATGATTGTTACAGCAATAGGACTTGGAACAATTCCTTTTATAATAAAGCCAATTGATCATTTTACCGATCGATTATTAGATCTTACTTTACGAAGATTTCAACCATAATTATTAAGAAAATTGTTAAAATTGTTAGTAAATAATTAAATCTAGTGACTTTTCTTCTAAAATTATTTTAAGTTGGTACCTCTGAGAAATCCACTATTTTCTGTAGATACCCCCTTTTCTTTATTTGCGTTTTAGTTTTGTGTTTTCGAGTTCATTTAGTGCAATTTTCCGTTATTAAACATGCCAAATTTTGATTTTATTCGATCAGGTCCCGTACAAATCAAGTCGAACAAGTCAAATGACCAATTACTTGTTAAAGTTTTACAACAACCCGAAGCTAAGTACTGGGTACCAAGATCTTATAAAAACGACGATTATCACTTAGAAGTCGTTCAAAAAAATAGTGATGAATATGAAGAAATCGAGGAATTATTTTATGGCAAAAATTACAAAGCGAAGCTTAAATCGGTTAGACGTGTACAAAATCCCTACCTCCTTGGACAATATTTGATTAAAAAGGAAGAAATTAAACGTGAATATGGCACAGTTAATGTACATAAATTGTTTCATGGAACAAAAAGGCGCGCAATTGATGATATTATTCGTGATGGGTTTGATTGGAGATTGCACGGTGAAAATAGAGGTGTCCGATACGGAAATGGAGTTAATTTTACTACTGTACCTGGTTTTGCAAGACATTTTGGAAGTCAACACCCCGTTAAATATATGATTCTTTGTGACGTGTTAATCGCAAAAGCATGTTTGGGATCCGAAGGTTTGGAATTGCCTCCGAAAGGTTATGATACGACCATAAAATCTGATTGGAAAGTTGTTGTTAAGTTTGATGATTACGAGCATTACCCTTCTTATATTTTAAAATATATAACCTATTAAATACGATTTTATTGTAAAATAAGTTTTAATTAAGTGAGGTTATGTTGTTTTTATTATCTGTCAAATATAAATTAACCTAAAAGTTGTGTCAAAATTATTTAGATTTAGAATTTCACTAAATTATTTATTTAAAAACTCTAAACAAAGTTGTAATAATAACTTAGTTAACATTTTGTTGTGTTTTCGATTGTGTTACGATCTAAATTATAAAGTATTTTCATGGAGACAGAAAACGGATGAGATGGAATTGGTCGTGAAATAGGTTAGTTTTTTTTCTTCTTCTTAAAATTGATAAATTATTTAATTCGAGTCTTTAAGCAAAAATATAGGGTTTAACACCTCTATTTCTTACTGTTTTAGAATAAAGCTAAAAATAAACTTTTTTTTAGTGTCGTCAAAGAAATTAAATTTACAGTTTCCTGTAAATTACAATTAAAAATTAACAAAACATATTTTACATACATTTGTTAAACTATTTAATTTATATTTGTTTTACACAAAAGTTGGAATAGATTGCATTATTTCACATTTTTTATTTATATTTAATATTATTATTAAATGACTTAATAAATTATTGATAGATGGCGCTCATATGTTTTTTTAAGCAACATTTCTTTGTATTCAAAAATGTTTTTAAGTGTCAAATTAAAAATCCTATTTTTTAAGATGGATTACGAAAAATTTAATACATATTAGAAAATAAAGTAAATTTTATATAAATTTTTAGTACAATAGTTTTTAGTTGTAGTACAATAATTTACAGGAAACTGTAAATTTAATTTCTAATTTCAATTTGTTATTTAGATGTATTCTTCTATATTAATTTTTGAATTTATAAGATAAATTAAATAACCATGTGTTTTTCTCAATAAAAAGGACACATTTGACAACCAACTTTATTCAACCTCTAATTTTTTGAAATACATGATTGTATGTCGAAATCCCACCGTAAGATGGCATTAGCGTCTATACCGAAATAATTTAATTAAACTAACAATTTTATTTTAACAGCAATAACAATAAATTATTACCAGTATCATTCTTTTAATTTAAAAAGTATAGGTTTCAATTCGTGTTATTTTTTTAAATACATATGCCGCTGAAGGTTGTTCAGAATGACAGATGAAAACGTCATTTTAAAGTGATTTTTTGCTAACAGTTTAATAAAGTAATAATGGTATGATTAAATAATTAGATTATAATTGATATTATAGCTTTATTTCAGCTAACAGTTATTCTGTGGTTGGAGCTTTTATATATAAACCCAATAAAAACTTGTATTCTAGTGGTTCGGTTCTTAGCTAAATAATTCCATAATATCCCCATAGATGGCGCCACATACGTTCAATTTTTAGTAGAATTTTGTGTCAAATGTCAAAATCATTTAGATTTAGAATTTCATTAAATTATTTATTTAAAAACTCTAAACAAAGTTGTAATAATGACTTAGTTAACATTTGGTTGTGTTTTCGATTGTGCTACGATCAAAATTATAAACTACTTCGATGGAGAGGAAACGGAGGAGTTGGAGGAATTGATCGTTTAATAGGTTAGTTTTTTTTTATTTGTCAAATAATAATTATTTTATTTTGTGAAATTATTACTATTATAATAAGTTGTATTATTTCGATTTATTAAACAATGGATTTGTGTAGGTAGTTTCTGCCGGTTTATACAAAGGATTTAAATCGGTGTTCCATTTTTCAAGTTCCCTTTTTTTCAAGAAATTCGCATATTCTCTTTTATCCTTAACGGTGACGATGCCTTTCCATGCTATAAACGCGATTATACCTCCTATTATGATTGGTAATAATATGGTTAATAAAAGCCCTCCTAAGCTAGCTACGAAAGGACAAAGTTCTTCTCCGATTTCTATTAAAAATTGGGTTTCATCGAATTTGTATCTATAAACGGTGTTGCAGCCCAATTTCCCCGCTAATAAGCATTTGTGCCAATCTTGGTCGTAAAAGCCGGCTGTTGCGTTTTTTCTGGGTGTTATGATAAGAGTGGTGCAATTAATTCGAAGACTTTCGGCTTCGGAAAGATCTAAATCTTTTAAATAGGCTTCAACGCATGGATCTAAATCTTCGCACCATTCGCATCCTATACATCCTTCGCAGAAATCCCCGAAATAACTGGTTTCGCATTCACATTTTCCACAAATACATGTTCCTTTTTCCGAGCATGGTTTTCCATCGCTGTAAGGCGCAATACATTGTTTATTAGAATTGGGGCACGAACAATCAGTTCCAGTCCAACCAGAAAAACATTTACATTCACCACAAATGCATTTTCCATTTTTAGACCCGCTACAAAGTTCGTCGTTTTTTCTAGGACACGAAACATCCTCGCATCTACAAAATCTTCCGTAATAATCGTTTTTACACTGACACATTCCGCATTTACAATCCCCATTTCCGTTGCATATTTTATTGGTTTGAGGGTCAACGCAATTTGTGTCATCGCTATGTGCCGACGTGGTGGAGCATTCGCAATGTTCTCCGCTGTAGCCTTCTTCACATATACAAATCCCGCAGGTTTTTCTTCCTTTGTAGTTGCAGGTTTCGTCGAGTTCCGTCACGTCGTTTTCACAATCGCACGAGCAAATTACTTCCAAATCGATTATTAGGTTTTCGTGGACCCCAACGGCATTAATCGTGTATGTTTTATTGGGTCCGAGACAATCAAGCGGGGTGATTTCTGCTTTAAATTGTATTTCCTCGTCGACTTTTGTGTTGTTGCAGTAATCTGTTTCTTCCTCTGCGCTGTTTGGACATGTTGCGAAAAATTTTACTTTAAAGTTTTCATCGAAATCGGAGGATATTTTGATTGTTTGTAAAATATCCTGTAACAAAAAATAATTAATTAATTGATTAATGTTTTTTTATTCTCTTTTGTATTTTTTTGTGTGAATGTAAATGTAATATTTGTAATCTTCATTAAAAATCCTTTAAAATGAGTACAAACACGACATATTTATCTTCAATATTAATGAAGTTATGGTCAACTTCCGGTTAAGAATGTCAACAGTAAAATTCTCCCATTACTCT